GTGCGGGGGGAGAGCTGTTGACCTCGACTGGGGACGTTGTCTGGCGGTGGAAGGAATACTTTTAGGATCTCCTCAATCCCACCGTCACGTCCTCCCGAGGAGGCCGAGGCTGGGGACTCGGAGGCGGACTCATCCATCACCCTGGCCAAAGTCACTGAGGTGGTTGGCAAGCTCCTTGGTGGCAAGGCTCCGGGGTTGGATGAGATCCGTCCTGAGTACCTGAAGTCTCTGGATGTTGTGGGGCTGTCTTGGCTGACACGCCTCTTCAACATCGCGTGGCGGTCGGGGACAGTACCTCTGGACTGGCAAACCGGGGTGGTGGTCCCTCTGTATAAGAAGGGGGACCGGAGAGTGTGTTCCAACTATAGGGGGATCACACTTCTCAGCCTTCCCGGTAAGGTCTATGCCAGGGTACTGGAGAGGAGAATCCGGCCGATAGTCGAACCTCGGATTCAGGAGGAGCAGTGTGGTTTTCGTCCTGGCCGTGGAACACTGGACCAGCTCTACACTCTCCATAGGGTGCTCGAGGGTTCATGGGAGTTTGCCCAACCAGTCCACATGTGTTTTGTGGATCTGGAGAAGGCATTCGACCGTGTCCCTCGTGGTGTCCTGTGGGGGGTGCTCTGGGAGTATGGGGTCCGGGGCCCTTTGCTAAGGGCTGTCCGGTCCCTGTATGACCGGAGCAGGAGTTGTGTTCACATTGCCGGCAGTAAGTCAGACCTGTTCCCGGTGCATGTTGGACTCCGCCAGGGCTGCCCTTTGTCACCGGTTCTGTTCATTGTATTTATGGACAGAATTTCTAGGCGCAGTCAGGGGCCGGAGGGGGTCCGGTTTGGGGACCACAGGATTTCATCTCTGCTGTTTGCGGACGATGTTGTTTTGTTGGCTTCATCGAGCCAGGACCTGCAGTGTGCACTGGGGCGGTTTGCAGCCGAGTGTGAAGCGGCTGGGATGAAGATCAGCTCTTCCAAGTCCGAGGCCATGGTTCTCGACCGGAAAAAGGTGGCTTGCCCTCTCTGGGTGGGTGGAGAGTCTTTGCCTCAAGTGGAGGAGTTCAAGTATCTCGGGGTCTTGTTCACGAGTGAGGGAAGGACGGAACGTGAGATTGACAGGCGGATCGGTGCAGCTTCGGCAGTGATGCGGTCGCTGTATCGGACCGTTGTGGTGAAGAGGGAGCTGAGTCGAAAGGCGAAGCTCTCGATTTACCGGTCAGTCTTCGTTCCTACTCTTACCTATGGTCATGAGCTCTGGGTAGTGACCGAAAGGACGAGATCGTGGATACAAGCGCTCGAAATGAGTTTCCTCCGCAGGGTGGCTGGGCGCTCCTTTAGAGATAGGGTGAGGAGCTCAGTCACACGGGAGGAGCTCGGAGTAGAGCCGCTGCTTCTCCACGTCGAGAGGAGCCAGTTGAGGTGGCTCGGGCATCTGTTCCGGATGCCTCCTGGGCGCCTCCCTCGGGAGGTGTTCTGGGCATGTCCCACCGGGAGGAGGCCCCGGGGAAGACCCAGGACATGCTGGAGGGACTATGTCTCTCGGCTGGCCTGGGAACGCCTCGGGGTCCCCCCGGAGGAGCTGGAGGACGTGTCTGGGGTGAAGGAAGTCTGGGAGTCCCTGCTTAGGCTGCTGCCCCCGCGACCCGGCCCCAGATAAGGGGACGAAAATGGATGGATGGAGACCTGGGTTTAGACTTGGTTCAGTCCTGGTTTAGTCTTGATTCAGTCCTAGTCCAGTTCTGGTCCAGTCCTGGTGTAGTCCTTGTGATTGGATCTGTGGTTGCAGCCTGTATATATTTATAATCCGCTAATGACACGGCGTAGGTTCAGTCCTGGACTACTGGCCTGTTGGACTAATGGGCTGACCCTGATTTATCACGGGCACAGGTAGGTAACGGTGGAATGTTAACGGGTCTGGGCGGGAGCAGATTTAACTTTAATATAATCCCTGGTTAATGGGTGAGTGTGGGTCTCCAAAAATTAACATGTGCAGGACTGAAAATGGTGGCCATCTTGAATTTTTGAGTGGCACACACCTTTTTCCATGAGAATGTTCCTTGAAGAATGTTTTGTACCAATCTTGATGATAGCGTCACCATTTGATAAATTGATGTAAGGATTTAAGAGAAATAGCGGCCATCTTGAAAAAGACTGGTGGCATCTCAACCATCAAATGTTTGTCTTCTTGATATTTTGAGGGACAAGCACCATCCTCCAATCTTAGATTAATCTTAATCTTAATAGAGTATTTTCACAAAATGTTAAGCCTACATCACAGTTTGAATGCTCGACGTAACGAGCATTTGACAGAAATAGCGGACATTTTGAAAAATGGACACCATTTTGAATTTTTGAGTGGCCAATGCCTTTTTCCCAAAAAGTGACCCTTAGAGAGTATCTAAATTTCATGATTTTATACCAAAGAGAACGATTTTCTTGAAATATGCAATTAATCTGCTGCACTACATTGACAGGTACAGAAATCATTTGTTTGCAGAGTTTGAGTCAAAAGGTTGTGCAACAAAATGTTAAGTTAAGGGTACCATCATTTTTGTCCAGGCCACTGTCATTATTTAGTTTTTTTCTAATAATTCTGTTTAAACACAGGTGAAAAACAATGTTTGATTTTCACTGGGCAATTTTCAGTATTATTGCTTTTATCAAGTTATTTCAGTGATGATTGTCGATTTTTCTTTCATTGCCAGAAGGGAACCAACAATTTTGTCCACATCTGTATATTTCTCACTAGCGATAAGGAGCTCTGATGTATCCCACAATCCACTGCACAGACAAAACCCAACTTTCCAAACACTACTGCACAAGTTACACTGCAGCAGATTATTCATTAAAATATTCTGCATAAGTAAATTTTACATGACTAAACTTTACAACATAACCACTTTAGAGCCAGATCAGCACATTTGAGATTGTAATGTGTTTAATGCAGATTTGTGTACATTTGTTATGTTTTACAGAAATGAAACCTTAACACCACATGGCTCATTTGCATAAACAGCGAGCTCCTTGTGCGCTGATGCTGTTCAGCCTCTGTCAGATTAAAGGACACGACTCAGTGGAATATGAGTGTTCTCTCTGTCACAGAGGATGTGCTGTTGATGGCCTTGTCTGTAAATGGTGGAAAAGGTTTGTGGTGCTAAAAGCATTTGTTGGCAGCAACTTTTGGCATTCATGCAGTAGTGAGTAGAGAATGAGACAACACGCAAGGGGAGGGGTAACAAAAGCAAGGAGCGAGTACAGAGAAGGCAAACAAGCAAAGTGGTGAAATCAAAATTAAATATAAGCATTATATGGATATATACAATATGTTAGAATCCATTTTGCGTTTAAAAAAAATTCTCAATATATTTTAAATATCGAGATATCGCCCACACCTAGGTTGAACCTTTATTTTCTTGGGTCTAAACTTGTGGGTTAAAGTTCTTTCAACTGACAACAATCACGTCTTTGGGGTTGCACTACTTTCAGAAGCTATTGTGAAAAAAAAAAAAAATCTATAAAATGTGAACAGTATTTTATACATGACGAGGTCTAATCTACTCCATCATTCATCCACAAATGGTCCAAGGTAGAAAAGGAAGTAAGATTTTTTTTGAAAATTGAATACTACTACTAGTATGATATTGTAACGACAACAACAACTACTACTACTGTTAAGGGTGAAGTATAGTTCTGTTCTTCAACTCAACGAACACTGTCGCTGTCGCCTTGTCGCCATTGTTTTTGATTGCGTCAAGGTCTATATGCCACAAAGTAATTCATGGGCACAATGCTAGGAGACTAGGATTTAAATCTGGTGTTTGTGTAAAAAACATGAACCACCTCCAGCTCCATAAAAGCACAGAACAGACTCACCATCATCAGCACATCTTCACAGAAAGAACACATATAATCAGGGTATCCCCAGGTTTGACCCCAAATTTAAGGTTTTTTTAAGATCACTTAAATGAAAATTAAGACCAACATCTCACCCATTATGCAGGCAAAAAACACCAGATCCAATTCTAATAATGATCAACCAACTACTGTAATATATCTAGAATCTAAGAGCTTCACTTCCCCATGATCCATCCAATGTTCTTCCTCCACCTTCCTGATGGTTTACTCATTGCTATCGGCGCCAGAAACCAAAGTACTGTTTGCACATACTCCAAATTAGATGTTACGTGATTTCATGTTGTTGTTGTTTTTTCCTCCCTCCTTTTAACATGGCACTGCAGCCCGGTTGAGTATACAAAAAAATAGGCTAATGAAATTGAAGACCTTTGTGAAAAAAAATAAGACTTGGACAACAGAATTTAAGAATATTTAAGGACTTACTTTAGGAACATGAAATGTAAGACTTTTTAAAGATGTTTAAGACCTCATGGCTACCCTGATATTCCACTGAGTCATGTCCGACAGAGGTTGACTGAATCAGGGCACAAGGAGCAAGCTATTTTTTTCAGTGCTCATATTTTATGCAAATGAGCCATGTGGTTTTAAGTTTCGTTTCTGTAAACCTAAACAAATGTGCGCAAAGCTGCATTAAACACATTATTACTCAATATATACTAAAAAAAGGAAAGTGAAGTACATGAAATGTATGTAGAGTGGCTGTAGAGGACCAGTCACAGCCCTTATTGTCTGCGTCACTTGCCCCTGCTGTCTGTGTCGTTTTGACGCGTATTTAGAACATTTTGGAAGTGCATGTCAGTTGACACAGACACTCTGCGTAGGAGGTTCAAGTTGACACGGACTCTCTCTCTCGTGAGGCAGATGATTTGACGATAGACCGTAAATTGGGCTTTACTGTTGATAATACCATTACTGCCTACAACCGCTACTGCTACTTTAAGTACAACAGCTGCTCCTACTGTTAATACTATTATTACTTCTACTGCCAGTACAACTGTTCATACTACTATCGCTGCTACTACTGCTACTGCTACTGCTACTACTACTGCTAGCACTCTAGCTTTTCCACACTCACACTACTACTGCACTCACCATGTACGTGATGTGTTTGACGTGCTGCTGGTGCTCTGGCTTCTCCAAGCTCACAGTGAAGCTGAGGCGCAGACTGTCACCCACACTGACCCGGTGGCCCGCCCAAGAGATGTAGAGCAGGTTGTGGGAGGAGCTGTGCGTGGCGTAGGGCTTCAACCGGAGCTCTGTGCGGGCCTGCTGCAGCGCCTGCAGACCTGGCTGCACCGTCTCTGCCTGCACACAATTGATACTTTGGGGTGACATCGTACTAGAGGTGTTCTACATGCAAGTCTATTGCGGAGTGTTCAGCAGCTACCATTGTCGTTACCTAGTGGTGACAGGCTGCAGTTTCGCGGCACATTCAAGTTGTGTCTTCAGTTTGGGGCAACCTGCAGGGAAGAGCTAACTACACTGAAACTACTCTGAAACTAACACACCTACTTGTTTACAGTTTCTGTGTGTCTTTTAGCATAAGCTATAACTGTTTACCCTATTTTGATTTACGTCTGAGGATGGAGTTGTAAATAGGAGATTGATGATGTCTAAAGGTCCATTCAGACCATGGCGTCAAAAAACGGACGCCATTGCATTTGAGTTTAGATGCCCCTGACCCATGTCTTGGATGCCATGGAGGCATGGGAGAAAAATACTTGATGAGCATCCAGGGCGTCCATTGCCCTGGAAACAAGTGCCATTTCCTGGTCTTTTCTCGGAACGATGACAGTCCAGGCTGAGAGAGAGTATTTATTACATAAAACCATCAATGGAGGAGATTAGCTCGGAGGCTGTGGCATGTATATATTTATACTCCACTAATGACACTAGTTTAGGCCTGGTCCAGTCCTGGTCCAGTCCTGGTGTAGCACTGGTGATCGGCTCGGCATGTATATATTTATACTCTGCTAATGTTTGTGGCTCCCTGCCCCGGTTCCCGGGTCTTTCTCTTTCTTCTCCTTCTTCCGGATAATTTGCTTTATCCACATCAATGGATAATCCTCCCTGATTGGTTGACGCAGCGCATCCAACGGCTAAAGCATTTCAGCATTTTCAACTTCTGACGGAAACACCCTGGACACGCGTTCTTAGCACTGACGCCTGAACGCTCAAGACGGGCAGCGCTGACGCTAGATTTGCCAGATCTACACTAGAGGGTCAGCAGATTGTATACAGTATAAGATAAATTGTGGAAGAGGTTATAGTAAAAATGTGTTTCTAATTTTGCTCATTGCATTAAAATTGCAATTAATCTTCGCAGCCCGAGTACAGATACATTTAAATAAAGAAATGTGTTCTGACCGTGATGACTTGCACGTTCCTGTCTTTGGGCATGTTGATACTGGTGCGAGTGGAGCCTCCACTGACCACTAGTGGAGTGTCCTGGAATGACAGCTTCACTTGGACATTTTGGACCGGAGAGTTGTCATGGTGTCTCACATCCACCTGCACAGTTACAATCACAATTTACCTTCAAGATTCAAGGCTCCATATTATGCTACTTTCTGATCTATGTTATAATGTTGTTTAGTCATTTAGTCAGACTTCTTTTCTCAAACTGAAAATACTCTTTCCACCTTGTGAAGTCATGTAGAAATAGAGGTGCTCCACTGTGTTTTTAAACTCAACATTTGAATGATTTTATCCCAGGAATTGAAAATATCTACTGAACAAAAAGTAAAAAGTAGCTGTTTATTTGAAAATTATCACTACATGACATCACAGGGTGGAACAGAGCACTTTAGAGACTAATAATAAAGAGATACTCAAACATGTGTGAATGAAACAAAACACAACTCCAGGTCTGTTTTTGTGTGAATATTATAAACATGGTTAGAAGCTCACAAAAATCCACTTTGTGTAATATAGGACTTTTAAAATATCAGAAAAATACTTTGTTTGTCCATAAATTGTCTCTGCATTTTAAATGGAATTTTCAGTGTTGATGACATAGGCAAAGGGATTCTGTTTCAGAACTCATTTCAATTCAAAAAGTTTACGGTCTAATTTCCATATTGAAAAATTGAAATTATGTTCTCATTCTCAATCTTCTAAATTAAATAATAATAATAAAATAAAAGGAAAAGTTTAAAGTTCTTCTTTAGGGAGACAAAGATTCCTAGGTTCCATCTGGTGGTCAGAGAGGGGAGAGAGTTCAGCATTCTAACAGCCTGGTGGATGAATCTGTTAGTGAGTCTGGTGGGAATGTAGGCTCCTGTACCTCCTCCCAGAGGGCAGGAGGGTAAACAGATTCTGTGCAGGGCTACTTGCATCACTCATAATTGTGAGGGCTTTGCAGATGAGGCAGGTGGTGTATAAGTCTTGCAGGGAGGGGAGTGGTGCACCAATGATGTTCCTGGCTGTGTTCACTACAGCTTCTGACCAATACAGTGATGCAGCAGAAAGGATGCTCTCAATGGTTCCTCTGGTGAGGCACTTGGCCGCTTGAGTTTCCACAGGAAGTGGAGGTGCTGCTGGGCTTTCTTCACCACTGATGCAGTGTTGGTGGTCCAGCAGAGGACCTCAGTGATGTGCATCTCCAGGAATTTAGTGCTGCTCACTCTCCACAGCAGCATCATCGATGGCCAGTGCCAGATGTTGGGTGTGGCCTCTCTGGAAGTCAACAACAATCTCCAAAGTCTTGCTGATATTCAGCTGGAGGTTGTTGTCTCTGCACCACATGGTCAGAAGGTCAATCTTTTTCGTGTAGTGAGTCTCGTCTCCCTTGGTGATGAGACCCACCAGAGTTGTGTCGTCCGCGAACTTCACAAGGTGGTTGGTGCTGTATGTTGTTGTGCAGTCATGTGCCAGCAGGCTGAAGATCAGAAGGCTGAGCACGCAGCCTTGGGGAGCCCCCATGTTTAGAGTGATGATGCTTGAGGTATTATTGCCAACACGTACTGCTTGTGGTCTCTGGCTGAGGAAGTCTAGCAGCCAGTTGCATAGGAAGGTGCTGAGACGTAGCTTGTTGAATTTGCCAATGTATTGTTGTGGTTATGGTGTGATTATTGTGCTGAATGCTGAACTGAAATCTATGAACAGCATTCTCACATATGAGTCTTTATTGTCCAGATGGGTGAGAGCTGGGTGGAGGGCAGAGCAGATCGCATTCTCTGTGGAACGTTTGGCTCGGTATGTGAACTGGAAGGGGTCCAGGGTGGGGAGGGGGAAGATCAGTGCCACAGGCGGCGGTAATCATTGAAGCAGGATGGGAATGGTTTCTTTGGCGTGATGGTAAGGGCCTTTAAGCCAGATGGGACAATGGCTTGCTCCAAAGAGGTGTTGAAGATGTCTGTAAGGACATCCTTTAGCTCCTCTGCACAATCCTTCAGCACAAGACCTGGGATGTTGTCTGGACCTGCTGCTTTGCGTGGGTTGATGGTGGTGAGTGTCCTCTTCACACTGGCGGCAGAGAGGCAGAGAGTCTGGTCGTGGAGAGGCGGTGTGGTTTTCTGTGGGTGGGTGTTGTTTTGTGCTGCAAAGCATGCAAAGTAGCTGTTCAGGTCTGTTCAGGACTGTTCTCAAGCCAGCTTTATCCCCAGCTCTGAAGGCTTTGTCTCTGGCCCTCAGCAGACTGTGTACTTACTACTCTTGTCAACTATGGCTTCTGGTTAGCCCGAGTGATGTTTTTGTGTGGGTCACATCATCAGTGCATTTGGTGATGTAAGAGGTCACAGTGTCTGTGTACTCCTCAATGTTTACAACTCTGTGCTACTTCCTGTATTTTTTTTCCCCACAAACCTCCACTTAACTGATGTAAAACTATGATAACCAATTCAGAATTACAAAAACATGAAAACCTCACACACACACTTTAAGCCTGATGTGGGCTTGTTTAAATCAAATCAAGAGGCAAGAGTCATTTCAAGTGGTCAAAGATCAGCTTGGCTCTTTAGAATTCACCGTGAGGTCGAGGGGCAGGCCGGGTTTGAAGTACTTTGGAGCGTCTCGGAACGATAAAACAAACGGAGAATTGACGATCCGGATCCCGCTCTTCTCTGTCTCCACCAGATCACTGCCTGGAAACAGCACAGGGGACAGCAGTGAGGCATTATCATCACATCATTCTAACAGTGAGTTCAGTTCATACGTTACATTTTATATACTACCTTTATTTATGTATGCATTACTGAAATTCTCTCTTGAGTTACAGTGATAATAAACCATTTTGAAAAACTGTCTGTACTCTGTGCTCTCACAGTTTTAGTAAAGTTTGTGGACAGACAGAGGACACATACAAGTTTTAGACAGGCCATGCCTCATGTGAAAGTTCAGAACAGAATTCCCTCACTGAGCTGCAGAGGCTGCACTAACCCTGATTCATGATTGGTGCAGGTGCTGCGGTTTAGGTTAGGGTTAGTGACCATTCAGATCAAAGACACATGTGAGGCTCATTCTGCTTTCTGATTGGATAATTATCTTGAGAACCAAAACAGCAAACTCAATCAGCATTAGAACTGTCACCAGTAAAAATTATATTTGATTTGGACATGTTTACCTTGTATCTGGGCACACATATAGGTCATGTTTGTGAAATTTAAGATCAAAATAATACATACAGTTACAGTTTGTTCCACTTAATAATTAGACCCGCCCCTGTTGTGTTGTCACATGCCACCTCTAGAGGCTGTCTGTGTTACTGCTGTCTGACAGTGTGCCAGCTTTGGCCTGACAGTCCTCTCTCTTCCTCCTCTGCTTTTGATCCATGCTTCAGTGTCTCTGGGTTAAACTGCCAGAAGCAGAGGGGCCCATCTCCAGATCTTTGCCTAGTCTTGGTCAGGATGATTTGAGGATTTGACCTGTTGTGCATGTTTTGAGTTGATGGGGGAAACTGAAGTGCCTGAAGTAAACTCATCCAGACTAGGGATGGGCATGATTAGTCGATTAATCAATAATTGACCATTAAGAATTTCATCGATTACATTCATTTTAATCGACAAACCGAATGTAGGTTGCTGTGCGTAGCGTGATCAAACAAACTCCACACAGAAAGGCCCAGGAGCTGAACCTGGAACCTTCTTGCTGTGAAGTGTGAGTGCTAGCTGCTCAGCCACCATGGTACAGGTATTTTAGTGTAATATAGCGCCCCCTGGCTGAAAGTAGTGTTCCTGTTTAAATCACATGATCTGTTTGTGCAGTGGTTTTGTAATGTCTTTGTAGCAGTGATGAAATAGTTTGTGTGCAGGTCTAAAGTTTATGACAACAAACAAAACCCTGAGTCCAGTTCCTGGCAGCAGTGAGAATTAACAACAACAAATACACAAAGTCACGTGGAACATGTCTGGACATGGACATTGGGCAGTAGCAATGCTTAAAACCAGTCTGTCAATGATTTATAGACTTAGAGAAGTACATTTTGAAACCACAATATTGATCTAAACCGATTAAATGAAAGAAAAAAAAATCCAATGACTTCTGTGTTAGAAAAGTGTGGTGTCCACTGGGAGTTCTCCTCACCGTAAACGTCATCACATCAAAGAGCCGCAGGCTGTGGGCCCCTCCTATGGATAGCTGCATATCACACTAGTGAGTAGGGGATTGTTTTTCATTTGTACCAAAATGCCACCGCAACACTGCTGAAACCTACGTGTATTACCGATTAAGAAACTAAAGTACATCACAGTGGGTGTGTAAAATGGGGGATCTGCAAAATGGCGTCTTGAAAATAAGCACGTGTGCTCACACGTGCATGAATCACTCCAGATACAATTCTGGGTGAGTAAATGATGAGGAGAAATCATTATAATATGGTTCAAAGCTCTGAGAAGTTGATTTTGCAGAATAGGTCAGATTTAAAAGCTGTGAGGCTCAGAGGCACAAGATTTTTTTTTTACAGAAGATAAAATCAATAGCTAAATATAACTCCAAGTATGGTTTTAATGTGAGAACAATTATCTAATATGGTTAAATGCTCTAAAAAGTCCAATTTTGCATGAAAGCTGAGTACCTGAGAGAGTGAGCACTGAGGCCTTCACGTAGATGGACTTTCCCACTAAACTCCTGATTTCTGGGCACTCTGCCTTCAGGTCATCCATGGTCAGAGACACTGTCCCTCCATCCAGCTGAAAGAGGACAAAACTATGATTAATTCTGTTAACAAGACACAAGGAGAAATTCAATTTCTCCAGTGGACAAACAGGTCAAAAAACATTTCACAGCTCATCCAAGCTGCTTCTTCAGTTCTGGTCAGACGTTGGTGGACACTTCCTTATATCTGCCTGAAGGGAGGAGCTAACTACACTGAAACTACTCTGAAACTAACACCCTGCTTGTTAGCGAGGCCTATTCATCTGTACTAAGTGTGGGGAGCATAATCACTGAGGCCCAAAATGAGGGTTTTGACTGACCAGAACTGAAGAAGCAGCTTGGATGAGCTATGAAATATTTTTCAACCTAAATAGCCGTTTGTCCAGTTGACAAATTGAATTTCTCTTTGCCATGGATTCTACCTGGACGACTGAGGGATGCTACACACAACTGTTAAAAAGAGCTGAAAGATGTCAGCAGCATCAATCAGAGGTGGGGGCTTTCAAGTCATGACTTGGACGAGTCAGACTTGAGTCTATTTTGAGACTTGAGAAAACGGCTTTGGCCAGCTGTAAAGTTTTTAAAGTGCTTTATAAACAAAGTTGCTATTGTATGGTGTGATATGGAGATGAGTTGATGTTTTAGAAACACTTTCTCTCTAGACTACAGCTGACAATTGCAGTGCTGAATTTTACAGGAAACTCAAACATGTCCCTCCCCACTCATCTAATTGACTATTAAATTTTAAATCTCCAGACTATTACAGTAAATACTGCACCATGACATTAGGATTTGGATATTGTTACATCCCTATTTGTTACATGACTCTTGAAGTAGGACTAGTTAATAAAATAATAATAATAGAAATGGCAAAAATACAGTCTAGTAGTTAGTTCTTCATTTTAAAAGACTTGAAATTACTTGAAGCCAAAGACTTGAGATTTACTTGAGTTGCAAAATAAAGGTTTGGTTCCACCTCTGGCATCAGTAAGTGGTTTTCATTTCTTTGTTCTTTCAGATGGCGGTTTACAGATACACAGTACATTACTACAACAACTCCATTTGCCGTGTAACTTCTGTAGTATTTTTACAGCAAAATAAGAAACTGCATGGATGGCAGTGTTGTACAAGTTAACACTTTTGTCGGACTAAATTACATGTCTATATGTGTTCTTTCTGTGACAGAGGGATGTCACTGCAACTTTTGGACGTATAATTTGTAGAATGCACTGAAAATGATGAGGGCAGCTCCACTGCACGCTCGTGCGTATGGAGCAACACGTCCTGCACGTGGAGATTTCAGAAAATAGGATCCATCCTATTTTTTGACGCTCTTTGAGGCGCCTATCCCCATCAAAATACATAGAGAGCATGTATCTATTGTTGTATTTGTGCATTTACCATCAGCACAATGTGCTCCTGGGCAGTTCTGTATCCTGTGAAAGAGCCCAGGTCCAGAAATACTGTTCATTAATGCTTTCCCATTGAGAAACACAGAGCCGGAGCCGCGCCCTAGCGAAACCACAGCCGTGCGTCAATGCAAAGGCAGCTCCACCGGCATCTGCAGCAGGACGTACACACACTCTCTGTGTTTCTCAATGGGAAAGACGATCAAATTTGACTGGGCGCCTTTAGCCGCTTGTATCAGGTCTACAGTGAAACTAAAAAGTGCGAGCTCAAGTTCTTGATTTACAGAAGTGTTGCGTTCAGTTCAACGTTCACTGAAAAATGAACGTGTTCAATGAACGCGTTCATGCACAACACTAATGGATGGATACATGCAAAATAAAGACTTACATTGGTGACCTGCTTCATGGCTCTCAGACGGATCTTCTCTTTCTCATGTTTCACTCCAAACATGACGTAAGCCTTTCCCTGCACAGGCTGACCGTACAGGTACCTGACACACACACGTTTAAAGAGGGAGGATTGCACTTCTATGGGGCATTAACTGCTAACACACAACATCAGAACGTATTTATATCACCATGTTACCTTTTATTGTTAAAAATGTTGAAATGCTGAAAATATATTCACTGAAAACAACGTATTAATATGTTTTCTAAGTTTCTTTTGTTTTTGACGCTGAGTTTCCCTTTGCTCCCTGCACTGTTACTAACCCTTCAGAGCGCTATCACAACACAGTCAGTGTGTATCCCACTAGTTAAACTACGGCACATCGCATCAGGTTTGTCCAGTGGCTGTGTACAGTTTTGTGTCATGTTTGTGTATATTTAAGTTGAATTGTGGTGTGGGAGCATGGGCAGCGTTGGCTTGTGGGTGGAGCATGTTACAGCATGTTTATGTGTTGATCATGCTGATTATGTGTTGATCATGCTGATTCACCCAATATCTTGTACCTTGGAATGACAACAGGGTGAAAAACACGTATGACTATCTATAGTTCTATAAAAGACATGTTTTTCTGTACTTTGAGATGCCACGAAGCAGAAAACTGATGTATGTGGACCCCGTGGCATGTACCCACCCATGATAAAGTGTACCGGGTCAGCATTATTGTTCATTTTCTTGCTGTATATGCTAAATCAACAAGTTAATGTTTTGTCAGATGTGTGGTATAAAGCTACCCCTCATTGTGAGTTGGGCAGAGGCGTCGTTCCGGGGTGGCAGTTGTACTTGGTAATCAACACTGAATCCCTCTCAATGGAAAATGCTGAAATAAAGTGGCCTGCTTTCTCGGATCCTTCCATCTTGTGTGCTTCTTTTTAGGACACGCACTGAATCTTCCGAAAACCCACAAGCACAGCACAGAATCTTACAGCTGACCAGTAGGAGGGTTTGAATATGGTCCAGGAGAGATCGCTGAAATACTCAAACATGCATGGATGACTCTAAAACCTCTTCAGGCATGTTTTTAATGAGGGACCATTATAACATGGAAGAAAGATCTAAACCAGGACTAAACCAGGACTAAATCAGGACTAAACCAGTAGTCTCATACCTGGCTGTGATGGTTATGACCAGTTCATTGTCGTCGACGCTGAAGAAAGGTTTCTGTGGAGTGAGGGTCACGTTGAAAGCAGGAAGCACTGAAAGAGAGAGAGCACAGGGTTTAGTCCTGGTTCAGTCTTGGTCTACTCTTGGTTTATTCTTGATTTAACTTCATTTTTGTATTATTTTAAAGAAGACATATCGTGAGTTGTCTGCTTTATAGTTATAATCTCTGACATATGTGGATCATATGTTATAATTTGGACATTTTAAATCTCAATATTGATCTGAAACAACTTAATAAAAGAAACAGTGGCAGTGACAGAAGACTTACCGTATTTTTTGACCTCAAACGTAGAGTTGAACGTATTCTGCTCCCAGTGGTCAAACTTTGCTGTCACCGTCCACATGCCTTCACTTCAAAAACAAAACAAGACATCTGTGTAGTTCTTAATCTTAAATTATATTCAAATTATATATGATAATTTGGATCATTTCAGCCCTGGAATTGCCAATCTTTACTGAACTAAAGGTAACTACAGCTTTATGACATCACAAGGTGGAACAGAGCATTTTGAGCCATTTTGCGTAATAGAGGAGCTTTAAATTTAAATATAAAAATAAAAACTGACTTGGCGAATTCTGTGAGGAGAAATTTGTCTTTAAAGATGCCGTTGGTGGCTCTCTTTCTGGCCGTCTGATAAACCGCAACACCATCAGGATTCTGTCAAAACACAATACATTTGAACATATTACATTTGTACAGCAGCAGTTTAGAGGGCGTTTAGGTGCACTGTGCATCTTTTATGGTGGAGAATCCATCACCTGCTGGCCTTCAAGGAGATGTTATTGCTTTGTTGTTGGTGGATTTTAGTTTATTTCAAGGAAGACAACTATAAGTCACATTACAGGTCGGCTCTGCATAGAGAGGCAACCCTTACCGTAAGAGAGTTATTGTATTTTTGAGCAACAGAAGCACCCGTAATGATTAAATGCTAGATTAGATAGGGCACATTCACACTAGCACTTTTTTAGGACCGTGCTCAAGCATGATTGCAAAGGGTTCTATGGCCCACACTCACACCTCCACAATCAAACTGAGCCACAGCCCAGTGACGTACAGTGCTGTTTGTTTACATGATGTGCAGCAGACCTGTAAGTAAGAACAGTAAGAATATAATAACATATATATATATATATATATATATATATATATACATATATATATATATAGGGATGCACCGAAATGAAAATTTGTGGCTGACATCGAAACCAAATAAAAAATTTAACACTTGGCTGAATACAGAAACCAAAACCGAACATCAGCTGTGGTTTTTCACTTTTTTTTAATATTGCATAAATAGTCTAGAATAAAATTTTGGACATGTTTTTAAAAGAAAGTAAATGCATATTTAATATTCTTTAAATATTACAGTAGCCTTTCCAGTAAGTATACCAGTAAGTTTTTCATTCATATTATGTTAGGCCTTCAAACAAAACAATTCCAAAAAAAACTTAAGTGCATTAAAGTGGATAAACCCACATGACTGAACTGTTGTCCTTTTGGCACAAGTCTGCTTAGCCACAGTAGATAGGCTAATAATGTAAACAGAAGGCTCAAGTAAATAATAATACTTACACTTATAATAATTATAAATGTGTGCTTGTAACCTCATACACTTAGGGTGCACTCACACTAGGACTTTAGCACCGTGCTCAAGCACGGATCGCAGTTACTCAAACGAGAAATACAGTGAATAAACTCTGCTTAAAATCATACAGCAAATTAACGGTCACTTTCAAAGAGGACCGTGATAGACAGAAGTTTAGCTGCCTCACATTTCTGGCTGTCATCACTGCTCAGGGCTGTTTTCATATACATAAACTCACGGAGGAACAGGTATCATAAGATGACACACATCACTGTTTTCCTCATATGAGTAACATTAATGCACCTGACAGGGCTTGTATAGTACAGTTGTGTGTGTGCAAACACGAGCAACCCTGCCGTGCTTTGGCCCACCTCCTCCAACTTGGCCAAAGTCCGAAACGCGCAATGCCTTGACACGGTTCAACTGTGCTCGCACAGAACAAATGTACCATGCTTTAGAGGCGATCCGTGCTTATACACGGTTCTAAAGTCCTAGTGTGACTGCACCCATAGATGTGTTAAATGTAATTCCATGGAACTTTACAGCCAATGCAACAACATCTCCATGGACACAAGCAAGTGACGGACCCTCCACCAGAAAATTTGCACAATGCACCTTTAACAATATATTATTATTAGCAATAGGAAAATCTCACAATATTCTTATGGACATTCATAGACATATATTTAGCAAGGTTGGGGTTTGGTTGGGGTTGCATTAAATTTAAGAACAGGATTTTGTTAAAATAGAATGTTACTATGGCAACTAGAGGTATGCAATAACTTCCATCCCTCTGGAACAGACTATCTAGCACTAACTGCTCAGCAACTCGGCTAATCCAGGAATATTCTGGAACATCGGAGCTAGTCCCCTGTACTTTTTCTTAGAGCTTAGCATTAGCCTGGTACTAACCAATCAACCATATTTAGGTGAGACCAGAGCCTTATGTTTTTAAGTTCTTTATTCAAGAGTTTGGTTTCATATCTGACAGTTTCGACTGCTCGCTAGCAGTCATCCTCAGTCACGTGACAGAGTGGTCACGTGATGTGATGACCACTCAAAATATACTTTAACATGGGGTCTGGCTTCACTATTAATTAGTCTGTGCATTCCATTTGAAGTAACTCCAAGAGCAGCAAGTTGTAGCAACAAGCAGAGAGAGAATTAAATGTCTAGAATGGACATTTACAGTGTTGTGTTTTGGGTTGCCTTTCATGGTTTGAAAAGCAGGTGGCCAGCTTTGACAAGATTTAGTCTAAATCTCCCAACAATGTCTGAATTCATCACAGCATAGTTAGAGTTGTAGAGTGAACAGTGATGTTAGTTTGATCCCAGCTTTACCGAAGGACCTCACCTTGATGTCCACTGTGATGAAGCCTTCAAATGCCTTAAAAACTGGAGAAGAAACAAACGCTCTGAGACGAACTGTGAACATAAAATAAAAGTCAAAAATGTCCATTTGAATCTTTGCTGTTATAATTGATTTCACTAAAATGACTGAATAACATTATGGTTTCATTTAATGTAATTTGACTTTTTTTTTTATATTTTAATCCTGCAGGACTGCAGTGTATGTGGACCTGTGTCTCCGGGGTTGTAGATGGGCTTGTCTGTCTGGATGAAGATGTAACCTTGGTGAAATGAAACCATCACCAGTCGCTCCAGTGGCTCAAATCCTTCAAAAGTCACTCGAAGGAACACAAACTTCTCCTTCTTCTCCTTGGGCTGCAGGTTTATCGACGGGACCTGCCAACACATTACAACAGGCCTGTAGTTGACTAAAGACATGTGCTGCCCATTTATTAGTCGACTAAGAAGAAGGCATGACAAACGCGTTCAAATCTATGACGAATCTCTATGTATATGACTCACACTGCACTGCACTACCATGGTTGTGGTTGGCTGGGACTTAGACCTTTTAAGAAGTGCAGCATGTGCAGTTCAAAGGTTCAAAAGCTCTCTCAACATCTCAACAGCCTCTCAAGAGGCTGTTGAGATGTTGCACGACACAGAGGATACAGAGGAGGGACACTTTTAATACATCAGACTTACACTACTCACAATAAGTTAAGGATATTGTGAGAGAGTCAGTGAATGTCATATATACGGTGTTTGTTTCACTTCAGAATTTTTTGGGATAGGGAGGCAATTGTATTGGGGTATTAGACACACCTCATTTTGGGTTTTCCACGTAATAGTCTCACTGTGTACAGTGTGTCTTACATACTGGGGCCAAAAACCCTTTTCAATGTGACATCAAATTCAGTATTCTGTGGGTATAAAAAGCTTGTATTGTCAAGTCATTCGAAGTTCACAATTCGAACAGCCATGAACACACGACGTCACTTAACAGACGAGCAGTGCCACCTAGCCATGGCGCACCTTTTGGGTTGGTGGCAGGCAGTCAGATGTTGCTTGTGCTTGTGCCACCTGAAGGCCAGGACCACCAGACTATGGAACAGTTTTTATCCTGATGCTGTGAGACAGATCAGTTTGGTCAGAAAGCCCAGACACTTATGCGCCTTTACAAGACAGCACTGACTTGGAACGCACTTTAGAAAACGGGGGCGGGTGGGGGCTGTTTTTTTAAAGACTGTATTTGACATACAATATTTTAACTATGTATTCTTATTATTATCTATGCTGCTGTTGACCTGGACCTGAGTGCAGTATTTCGTTTCTGTGTACTTTTTTTATACTGAAATGACAAATAAATTCTGATTCTGATTCAGGGCCAGAGCTGAGGGAGGTGTTTATGATGTTGTTGATGAGTGGGGTGAGAATGGGGATGCAGGCTTTAAGGAGAGGGGACAGGAGAGGGTCCAGATGGGAGGTTGTGAATTTCATGTTGGAGAGGAGTTTGGTTGTGTCTGAGATGGATAAGGGGGAGAAGGAAGACAGCCTGTGGTCTGAATTTTGAATGGTTTGGAATTTGGAGGGAAAAAATTATAAGTAGTTATTGCATTTCTCTGTGGTGAATGAGGAGGTGATATTGTCTATGGGTTTGGTGAGCTGAGTGAATGCGGAAAACAAGATGCGGGGCTTTGTCCTGAGGAGTGTTACTTGCTCAAACTGCCTTGACACAGGAGCTGATAACCCTATCTGTTGAGCTGCACTGAGATTTCTGAGGCTTTTCTGTTAATATTATATTTTACTGCCCTACGTGCTTAAACTGCCCCTTAGAGATAAATGAAAAAAATGATATTTATTGATTAATTGATTTATAAAAACAAACATTTATGCAGAAAAGGTATTAGGAAACAATGTATTTATAAAGACAGATTCATCTTCAGCTCACTCACTTCTCCTTTCTGTGGTTGTCTCATAGAAATCCTTATCATCTATGATTATCTGACTAATCCACAGTCTGGATGACTAAGATTCCATCAGCCAATTAATCAACTAAAGAACTACAGCCCTTCTAATTTCATGATTAACTGTTCACGTATTGTGTCGTTGTAGTCCTGAAGTCGTATTTAGATAATAAGAATTTCTATGGGGCAACAGCAGAAAGGAGAAGTGAGTGAATGTGTTGGCTGAAGGTTTCGTATATTTTGACAATTATATGTAAAAAGAGTTAACTCTATCTTTATATAAATACTTAGTTTGCTAGTACTGTTTTATGCATAAATAGTTTTTACATGACCTCCCCCTGCAGGTGCAGTCTTGTGGGTGCAGTTTGGGTCAGATACATACTAGTATATATAGTATTGAGAGTTGACTTGACCAAGACAACCAGGTCTCACTTGTACGCTGAGTAAGCATGTGGTATCCATTCTAAACCAGGATTAAACCAGAACTAAAGCAGGACTAAACCAGGTCTCACCTGTAAGATGCGGCATGTGATATCCATTCTAAATCAGGACTAAAGCAGAACTAAACCACCACTAATTCAGGACCAAACCAGGATTAAACCTGGTCCTAACCAGGACTAATCCAGGTCTAAACCAGGTCTAAACCAAGTCTCACCAATATGCTGTGTAGTGTATGGTATCCATTCTAAACCAGGTCTAAGCCAGGAATAAACCAGGATTGAACTAAATCATGACTAAATCAGGACTTAAGCAGGACTCACCCGTATGCTGCAGTCCTTGTGGTAGTTATTGTCCTGGCTCAGGGTGGTGGAGGCCTCTGTAAGGACACTGCTCCGTCTGAAGTCCCAGACCTGGATGGAGACCGAGACGGCACCAGAGACCCCATCGGCCTGAAGAACCACATTCTCCTCACTGTCTGCTCTGAGCACGTCTGGAGCAAGGACTCTGAACCTGCAACCAAGAGAGGACTGAGGGTAAACCAAGACTAGACCAGGACCAAACAAGGACTAAACCAGGACTGAACCAGAACTGAACCAGGACTGAACTAGGATTAGACCAGGACTAAACCAGGACTAAATGAGAGCTGAGACAGGACTAAACCAGGACTGAACCAGGACTAAACTAGGACTGTACAAAGACTAAACCAGGACTAAACCCAAGACTAAATAAGGACTCAATCACAACCAGTAATAGTAGTAGAAGCAGCAATAGTAGTAAAAGTAATAGTACAAGCAGTAGTAATCCAAAGTGAAAATTGTGAGGTTTTTGTCAAAACTCCACTTTTATAAAAGCACATATTTCACACACACATGACCCAGACTAGGGATGGGCATGATTAATTGATTAATGGATAATTGATCATTAAGAATTTCATCGATTACGTTAATTTTAATCGACAAACCGAATATAGGTTGCTGTGCGTAGCGTGACCAAACAGGGTCTGTACATGTGTCTCTCTGCACTCAGAAGGAGCGAGCAAACAGAAACAGTGGGTCAGTCTGCAGCGTACCGAAGCATAAATGTGTATTTAATGATGACTTGTACAAGAAATTCCACACTTTCCGTTGCGTTCGGGACAAGTGTGAGTCTATGTGGACAGTGTACAAAGCAGCACATATGTTTTGGTGTCCAGTGGGAAAAAGTTTTACCAGGTGAGAGTCGCGCAATGTGGATGACGAGTCCCCACCTCCCTCCCCCCGTACGGTGTCCTGGTTTTGACAAATGCAAATATGGTCACACTAACCTGTATTCACCTGAGTCATGTCTTTTAATCCAACAGAAATTGACCGCATCAGCGCACAAGAGCTGTAGTTTTATCTTCGCTTAGTTTATGCAAATTAGCGATGTGGTTTTAAGTTTCGTTTCTGTGAGAGCTGCGCAAAACTGAATTAAACACATTCTAATGTCAAACGGGCTGATGTGGCTCTAGAGTCGTTGCGGTTTATATGTCGTAAAGTTGAATTTATTTATGCAGATTAGTAGTGCAAAAATGAGAACTTTACCGGGGACTGGTGCCGATCTCATCTGGACGTCTGCAACAAGAACACAGAATTATGAAGAGAATAGATTTAGGACAGTGCACTTTGTAAACATAGACTTTTTACACAGAAAGAACATGAAATTTATGTGTCACATCTTATGCACTTTTTATGTTTTAAATATAAGTTATACATTTATTGCTATTATTAAACATGTCTGTGGTCTTTAGGTCTGGTCTGGTCTGGTCCCTGGTTTCTGGTCTCTGGTCTGGTCTGGTCTCTAGTCTTTGGTCTGGTTTCTGGTCTCTGGCCTTTGATCTCTGGTCTCTGGCATGTGGTCTCTAGTAGAGCCCGACCGATATGGATTTTTGTAAAACCGATATGATGCAGATATAATGCCATCAGGCTTGGCCGATAGCCGATATAATCACCGATATAAAAAAATAAAAAACATTAAAATTCATTGCTTTCTATGAGTTATGCAAGCTTAAAAATCATGTAAACTTTCACCTTTTTCCAAAAAGTTTTATTTGTAACAATCAGGTGCAGTGTTTTACTTTTTGCATATTGAACAACTTTAACCAGAACATAATAATTAAATAATAATAAAATATATATGTGCTAAATATATAAAATTAAAATATGTTGTTCAATAACCATGATAATCTTTGAAAACAAAATAAAAAATAAAAAAATCTCTATATGAAATAAAAGGCAGAGAAATAACTGCATTTGTTTTTGCTTTGTTAATGTCCAGTTTGTACAGTTTCACTTTTTTTCTAAATTAAAAATAGCAATCAGTTGTAATACTTTACTTCCATTGTCAGGTAGAGCAGCATAAACTTTAGAATATACAAAAAATGAAATAAAATAACCATTTAACCATGATAACAGTACTAACCTAAATAAACTACGGTGGTAGTTTTCTCACTTAAATCAAAATAAATACATTAAAATATCCTAAATAAACAAAATAAAAAGCAGAGAAACAAATGAAATAATAAAAAAAAAAAATCTACTTGCACTTGTCTGGGTTGTTATTAATATGTCCAGTTTAAGAGGGGCAAGTTGTAGTGCAAAAAGCATAACATTTCGGCATTTTCCCCTTTGAGTGATCTGCGCCTTTCATCGTAAATGTTCCCAATGGTGCTGAATACTCTTTCACTGGGAACTGACGAGGGTGGACAGCAGAGGTATTTGCGGGCTAATGTTGACAAGTTCTTAAAGCGCCCGCTGTTTTGTTTCCACCATTCCAATGGACTACCCGTTTTCCTGTCAATCACAGTCTCCCTCAGGTACCTTTCCAGTTACTCTGTGATACTCTCAGGGGACTGGTCCTCCTGGCTGGTTGAAGCAAGCATGGTGTCAAAAAGACTGTCAATAACACTGGAGGCAGGATCCACCCTTTGTCTTTTGGGGTCTCCCTCTTCTTCTTCTGCAGTTCTTTCTTCTTCTGTCTCCCCCTGGCTCTCACTTGCATCATCCCGTGTCTCCTCTTGAAGCCACCCTTTTGCACTAAAAAGTGCATCCTTTGTCAATGGGCGCTGCTTATACCTGGGATCCAAGAGGCAGGCAAGGACAACTTCTTTAGATTCAGTGATTTTCTGAAACCTTTTGTCTAGACTTTCGAGCATTGTTTTCCTGACTGTTTGAATTCCAATTGTATTTGGACCCTCAGATTGTAAAAAACTCTTCAACACACCCACTGAAGGTATTATGCAGGAGGCAGATGAGTCTGCTTTACTCATTTCAAGTGTAATTTCCTCCAGTGGCATGAGGGTCTCCACCAACTTTCCTGCCAAGTCCCATTCATTAGGTGTTGGGCAAACAAAATGTCCATGGTCACTGGAATAGGCAGTGATGGCCCTCTTCTGCTCCAGCATCCTTAACATCATGTGCAAGGCAGAGTTCCATCTGGTAGGTACTGATTGAAGGATTGAATGGACAGGAACACCAAGCTCTTTCTGTATCACCGCAAGACTGTGCTATAACTGAGTGGTTAAAATGTGTGGCTATTCTTTTACATTTTGCAATCATGTCACCTACAGCTCGCTGTGCAGTGAGGCCATCATTGATGACAAGCTGAAGGGCATGGGCACTACAACTCAGGCCAGGAATCTCTGCAACGTTCATGCCTTTTATCATGTTTGCTCCACTGTCTCTTAATACCAAATGCACTCTTTGTTGCCCAATTTCCCACTCCTTCAACAAATTCTGGAAAGTCTCTCCAATATACTCCCCAGTGTGTGACCCAAACATCGCCCTTACGTTTAAAACAATTTGAACTCTGTTCCAGTCCTTATCAATGAAATGTGCTGTTAAGCTCATGAGGGACTCATTTGCTCCTGACCAACAGTCTGTTGTGAAGGCTAGGGCTCCAACATTTGCTGGGGAAAGAAGCTCTCTTACTCGGTTCACAACTTTTTGGTATAGCTCTTCCATCATCTGTGTCCGAAAATATTTCTCAGATTTTAATGTATACCTTTACTCCAGCTTTGTGATGAGCCGTTTAAACCCTTCTCCCTCCACAATAGCATAAGGTAGTATGTCTGTTGCTATCATTTCCATTATAAGCTTATCGATAGCTTTAGCTCTTGCATCATTTGAGGTCCACTTGGTATTTCTCTCCATTATTTGTTGGAGTGTGAGCTGTTTTTGTGTTCTCTGTTGTTGTTGAGCTTGGGCATTCAGATAAATTTCCTTGTGTTTACTCTTTAAATGATACCACAGGTTGGTAGTGTTCTTTGATTTCAACTTGCTTGACCCTTGTCCCACTAAAGAGGAACAAATGTTACAAATCGCACAACTCGAGGCATCCTTGGTGTAGTAGTCCCACACAATACTACAGCTTTCCTTTGCCTGTAACACACACACAAATAATAAATATTATATATAATGATTATTCTTCTACCCTGTCCAAAGTAGTTTATCATATAGCATTATCATAAAGCAATATTTTGCATTAGTGTCATTATTATTTATTAATATCTACTCCTCCCGTTCACCTGAACGCGCGCTACCTTTGCTGCAGTGCTCGTTAACAACATATTCGCTGAGCGCTTCTCACTTGTATCCCTGCCTCGCAAAAAAATACTGCACCTACGCACGTTTTTTTTTTAAAAACGGTAACGCAGCGTCACACAATCACTGTGCTGAAAGGTTGGAGGTGGTCTTTTATAGCTGCTTTTACGCGATCTTGAATTGGACATTTTATCCTAAGCAGACTCGGAAACCATCGTTCTTTATGTTAAATGACGCTGTTTATCTGTGCGGCTGTTCAAGCGATTAGCCATTTAACTTATCTAGTGATTTTGACATATTTGAAGGATACTAAAACATGCCGTATATTTCAGTGAACACATCACTATAATTGTTATGCACAATCACATGTATTGCAATGTGTTGCCCCGGCAAGAGAAAGTTTTGGCAAGGTAGTCTAATTATGCTTGGTTATCGAAATTTTAGCTCGCTAACTTACAAAACAGCTAGCGTGACCACAAGGCACTCAATAATATGCAATTCAAGAATGAAAACGTTGTTGTGATTGTTTATTTATTCCATAGACCACACTTACCATTAACAAATAAATGCTCCACGCCCTCTGATCTTCTGCTCCTCTCCAGTGTTTCAGTTTTGGGGTGCGCACGTGCATGAGCGCGCATTGAATAATGATGACTCCTAGACCTAGATGACTCCTACATGATAAGAAATAGTGCACCATCTGCTGGACAACACAAGTGCTTCATTAGCAGGGCTCGTTACAGGGCTGTACAGCGGAGGGAAAAAAGTAAAAAATATCGGCTCCGATCGCTGGCTATATCGGCCGATAGCCGATATAGCCACAGACCCTGATTTTGGCCGATAATATCGGCCGGCCGATAATCGGTCGGGCTCTAGTCTCTAGTCTCTGGTGTCTGGTGTCTGGTCTCTGGTGTCTGGTCCTTGGTCTCTGGTTACCTGTAACGATCTTGGTAGAGGTCAAACGACTCAAATCTGAAAATTACAGAATAAAATAGTTCAGGTGTTAGTTGAACTAATGATGAGAAATGTGCAAAAAAAACTTGTTGAGTTAGTGTTGTGACAACAATACAGTCCAATTTTCACTAAGGAGTACACTTGATACTCAATACAGATTCTAAAACCACAACATAAAGCCCGACTGATATGGATTTTTTTGGATCCGAAACAATACCAATAAATGGGACTTTGGAGGTGCTGATAGTCGATATAAACAGCCAATATATTTGGTGATGTTAAAATTCACTGTAAATCTTCAACTGATTATAAAACTTGACTTGGGTTTAGGTTGGATTTATTTCAGCTACATTTACTGTTATTTTGTCTCTTTAAAGTCATATTTAAAGAAAGTAGGCACTAGGTAGGTAGACCTAGAGACTACATTATGTCTCCAAGTGCCCATATCAGCCAAGAATATCAGCCAGTGAATAAATCAGTCCAGCCCTAGACGACCAAAATAAAAAAATACTCTTTCTTTAGATGAGAGAATGTGATTTCAGCTTTAAATGGTAGTACTTTCTTTTCTATTCCCATGGTCCTAAATCTACATAATCCCTCAGTGATCCAGGTAGTACTAGTCTATGAGTATATAGTTTCGATACTAATTTTAATATCTGATTTTCAATACTTTTTTCAATACGTCTTCAGATATGATTTAGTTTATCTCATGTTTGCGTCTGTCCTTTGAAAACACCAAGTTTTGTGCTTTATTTCATGTTTTGTCCTTCAAATTACATTAACTTCAAATTATGACTCTTACTTTAGTAGTTTTCCCAAATACTTTTTTATTTGAGTAATTTCACTTATTTCACTTCCTTGAGCAGTTTTTTTGGCTACTCTACCCACCTCTGGAAGTAGTAGAAGTAGTAGTAGTACTAGCAGTAGCAACAGCAGAAGTAGTAGTTGTTATAGTAGTACTGTAGCTGTGGCAGTAACAGTAGTTACAGTAGTTGCAGTAGTAGCAGTAGCAATAGTAATAGTAATAGTAATAGTAATAGTAAGTAGTGAATGGAGGAATGTACCTGTCTCTCCAATTTCTGAAAAAAAAAAATATAATAATGTAATTAGGAAAGTGAACATTTCAAACATTTTTAAATAAACAGAAAGTACTCACTGTGCGTTCACAGAGGAGCAGAAGCACAGGAGAACCTCCAGGAAGAGCCTCCACCTCACCATGGCTCCTCAAAGGGCAAGGTCTGGTCTCGTTGTAGTCCTACCTCCGGTCTGGAATCTGGACCAGAGTCTCGTCCCGTTGTAGTCTAAGCTCCTGTTTTAGATCTGGACCAGGGTCTAAGTCCTACTGTAGTCCAGACCTTCTGAAGTCTGGTCTGTGACTCTAGATGGGCCTTGACTATGGTCTATCCTGTAGTTTTTCCACAGTCCCACCCATATCTTGTCCAGATTAGGTCTTGTTTGGACCCCAATTTGGACTCTGATGTAACTCTTGGCTATAGTCCAAATTATAGTTTGTGACTCTGGCTATAGTCCCATTGTAGTCCTGCCATAGTCCCACTGTAGTCCTGCTGTAGTCTAGTCTCGATCTCTGGTCTTGTTTGAACTCCAAAGTGGACTTTAGCCTTGGGGAAGGATTCTAGTGTAACTCTCAAGGCTAAGGGTCAGCGGCGGCAGTATAATTTTTTTTTTGGGGGGGGTGCATAGGCCAAAATTATAAATATATATATTATATATAGGCTACATTGTATAACGAATACCAGAAACAGACAGTCATTTTGGTCGTTATTGGCTGAACTATATCTATCAGAGCACAACGCACAACCAAGCACAAAGTTTACACAGCAACACAACCTGATCCACCGCTCACACCCAGCCCCGACAACACAACATAACACACCACTCACAACCAACCCCAACAACACAACACACCACTCACACCCAGCCCCGACAACACAACATAACACACCGCTCACAACCAACCCCAACAACACAACACACCACTCACACCCAGCCCCAACAACACAACACACCACTCACAACCAACCCCAACAACACAACACACCACTCACACCCAGCCCCAACAACACAACACACCACTCACAACCAACCCCAACAACACAACATAACACACCACTCACAACCCAACCCCAACAACACAACACACCACACACCACACCCAACAACCACAACACACAACCCACACAACCAACAACACACCATAACACACCAACAACACACAACACACCACTCACACCCAGCCCCGACAACACAACATAACACACCGCTCACAACCAACCCCAACAACACAACACACCACTCACACCACACCCCAACAACAACACAACCACTCACAACCAACCCCACAACACAACACACCACTCACACCCAGCCCCAACAACACAACACAACACACCACTCACAACCAACCCCAACAACACAACATAACACACCACTCACAACCAACCCCAACAACACAACATAACACACCACTCACACCCAGCCCAACAACACAACATAACACACCACTCACACCCACCCCAACAACACACATAACACCACTCACAACCCAACCAACAACACAACATAACACACCACTCACACCCACCACACCCAACCCCAACAACACAACATAACACACACACTCACACAACCAACCCCAACAACACACACACAACCACTCACCCCAACCCAACAACACAACACACCTCACACACCCAGCCCCAACAACACAACACACCACTCACAAACCAACCCAACAACACAACACACCACTCACACCCAGCCCCAACAACACAACACAACACACCACTCACAACCAACCCCAACAACACAACATAACACACCACTCACAACCAACCCCAACAACACAACATAACACACCACTCACACCCAGCCCCAACAACACAACATAACACACCACTCACACCCAGCCCCAACAACACAACACACCACTCACAACCAACCCCAACAACACAACATAACACACCACTCACACCCAGCCCCAGCAACACAACATAACACACCGCTCACACCCAGCCCCAACAACACAACATAACACACCACTCACACCCAGCCCCAACAACACAACATAACACACCGCTCACAACCAACCCCAACAACACAACATAACACACCACTCACACCCAGCCCCAACAACACAACATAACACACCACTCACAACCAACCCCAACAACATAACACACCACTCACACCCAGCCCCAACGACACAACATAACACACTGTTCACATCCAGCCACAACAACACAACGCAACACACTGTTCACATCCAGCCACAACAACACAACATAACACACCACTCACAACCAACCCTAACAACATAACACACCACTCACAACCAACCCCAACAACACAACATAACACACCACTCACAACCAACCCTAACAACATAACACACCACTCACAACCAACCCCAACAACACAACACACCACTCACAACCAACCCCAACAACACAACATAACACACCACTCACAACCAACCCAACAACACAACATAACACACACTCACACCCAACCCCAACAACACAACATAACACACCGCTCACACCCAGCCCCAACAACACAACACCCTGGTCACATCCAGCCCCAACAACACAACGCAACACACTGTTCACATCCAGCCACAACAACACAACATAACACACCACTCACAACCAACCCCAACAACACAACATAACACACCACTCACACCCAGCCCCAACAACATAAGGCAACACAAGGTAACACACCGCTCACACCCCGACAACGTTAGCAAAACTACAATAAGAGGCTATGGTCACAACATGAACACACGGCCTCAGCGCAGCAGTACAGCGCACAGAGGAACAACCGGAGCAGCTCCCCCAGCTCATTTAGGCACTATTTAACTACAACACTATAACACTATTTACCTGTGAGGCGCCATCTTCCGATTTGCCCCAAACTAATGAAAACAAGCCTCTTACCTTCTCCAAAGAACTGAAGCAGAGTGTTTCCTCTATCTGCTGTCCCACTGGTTCTGTCTCCAAAAGTCTATTGTCCACTACGAAGAGCTCACACTGGTCCAAATCCATCAGTCAGGTCCATGACGCGAGGTCCAAGAGCCGAATGCACGAGCTGATTGTAAAATTCTCTTAATCTCACTTCCCACTTAAATGTGAAAGTTACACCAGTGCATATTAGCACTAGGACACCAGGTCCTCTGTGCTCTACGCCCAGGGAAACTTTTACACCGAGAAACAAGTGGGCAGAGGCGGACAGAGCAGCGAACAACAGCCCAAGCCCCGGCGGCGAGTCCTGGCTGCGACAGGCTCCGGCGGCGCGTGGGTCCTGGGTCCCGGTGGCGGGTCTGTCCTCGCGCTCTACTGTGGAGAGGTTTAAGCTAACAGCTAGCCGCCATTAGCCAGTGTGCGAGTCAGAATAAGAGCCGTAGTATCTCAGCGCAGCTCATTCCAGCTTAATGCTTCTTTTCTTCTTCTTACTCCCTAAAACTGATCCTCGGACGGACTTGTACGAACTCTACATAACAGTACAGCACTCAGCTCTGTTGTTGTCATCATTAGCGCCTGTAGCAGTAACATGTGTCAGTGCAGAGTCAGGGCTGAGAGCAGCTGAACCACAACAGGTCCGCATGTGTGTTCATGTTTATTCAGAACAATCAGGTCCACATGTGTGTTCATGTTTATTCACAACAATCAGGTCCACATGTGTGTTCATGTTTATTCACAACAATCAGTGATTTCAGGCGCTCCGACCCTGCGCCCTAAACACGGATTTTAGGGCTAATGTAAAGTAATGGGCAGAAGCAACGTAATGACGTCATATTTCTTCAAAACTTCAGGCTCTTCCGTAGAAACTCAAATTCCAAACACATGACTCAAATAAAGTGATATGAGCACATTTAACGTGATAAAAATATGTCTATGCAGATACACGTTACATTTAAAACTAAATATTAAACATATAGCCTAATACAAAATAACGACTTTATTTATTTTTTTCCTTCTTTTTTGTTTAATCTAGGTCAAGTTAGGGAGTGCGGCGCTCTATTGACCAGCCGCCACTCGATATGAGCACATGATATGTTTAACATGATAAAAATATGTCGATGCAGATACACGTTACATTTTTAAACAAAATATTTAACAAATACCCTAATACAAAATAACAACTTTATACATTTATTTTATCTAGGTTAAATTAGGGAGTGCGGCGCACTTGCGCCCTCTATTGACCAACCGCCACCACAAGGGTCTCCACTAATATTTATAACATACAGGTTAGTCTGGCAAAAGAAAGGACAAAGGTAGTGTATAGTGGGAATGTACAATATTTATTTAGACAATCATTAAAAGGCTTTTCTTTTATAACATTTAAATTTAAGGTTTAAGACAGATACAACATAAAGTGTGGTTGTTCGTTTTTAATATGTAAAGTGGAAACGAGGTTTATGTGTGCGGGGTTAAGGTACTTTGAGTTTGATGTGTAAAGTGCTAGCAGCCTATAAGGTCTAAAGTGTTTTGTGTAGTTGCTGATCCTGAAGGCTATCCCCCGCTGCACTCCCCTTTATTGCACAAACTATCCTGACCAATAAATTTATAAATAAGCACTACAACTACAGTCAACAGCTTCAATGATAAAGGAGAATTTGTGATGAATTGAAAAGGAATCTGAGATTAATTTGAGAGCCTCTTTTTTTTTTTTTTTCCGACTTTCTTTCTATCAGTGATGACAGGTGGGCCATGCAGTGTGAGTACCAGTGACCACCTAGTTACACTAGTCTCTCTCTGTCACATCACGAATGTCTTCACTAATCCCAGGTCAGTTGGCGCTTATGATGAGTGTGTGACCAGTGCGTGTGCCAAGGTACACTATTTTTCCTAAAACGTCAGACTAAAATGGCTCTCAGTTCCAACTGAATCTGTGTCTGAAGCCTTTGGGGGAAAAACAAATCGTTGGACTCCTAGTGAAGGTGAAGATTTGTAGTTTTGGCCAGTCCTGATGAGTTGTGATTTGTTGATTTGTGGGTGCTCTACACACTATTATACATTATTATACTATTATTTTATATGTCATTGACAATAAAGGAATTCAATTGATCTAGTCTTATTGTAAGGTCTTGTGTGCTGGCACGCACTGATAAATGTCAATCAAATCAAATTGTTGTTTTACCAATAAACCATTCATTACACGGTGGTGCTACTGTGCTGTTTCATAAAGCCAAAAGGCCAACTCAAAATCATTGAAATAAATACAAACAAAACCATTCTAAATGAAATGAACAGCATTTTAATTGTTTTGTTGACTGAAATGACATTTTACAGATTTCAAGAGATGCACCAATGAACCCAAACCGATACAGACCGTGGGTCCATGTACATGTCCAGTAAAGTCAGATCACTAGAGTAATCAGATAACACAATAATGAGATCAGACTTTGGTGTGTGTTTACAGCACAAGAGAAATCTGTTTATGAAAAACATCTGGTGACATTCCGGTAAATCAGAGGATTTTCAGAGTAACTTAATTTTAAAATAACTCCTTCTGTCTTTAAAGAGGGGCTATTTTACTTCTATGATGTATTCATTAACATATTTAGATCACCATGTTACCTTTTGTTTTGAAACATGTTATAAATTTCACTTCAGTTTTTAACACTCTGAGTCTTGCTAATGAAACTACTGCATATTGCGTCAGATTTGTGAAATTGTTGAATAGAGTTTTGTATCAGGTTTTTGCATATTTGTGGACAATTGTCATGTGGCAGCAAAGGTGATACAGGCTTGTGGGAGGAGCATTGCACATAATCTTACAGCACACCATAAGGAGGGTTCAAACAGGGCCAGAGAAAGATCGCTACATTACTCTAACATGCATGGGTGATATCTTAAACCTCTTCAGGCATGTTTTTGATGAGGAAACAATGTTATAACATGATAGATTTCACAATACCTTGCCTTTAACATTTTCTCTTTGATTTATTTTTGTCTTTGCCACATTCGTTTGTCCTTTTTAGCTGGCTTAGGGGTTAAGATTTGGTGGTGTGATTTGTGCTCGTCTCCATAGATACAGTAAGTTTAAAGCTACTGTGATATATTTTCTGGAAAAGCACAAAAATCTACATGGAGATAAGCAGGAAGCTACCCCTCCAGGAAAAAAGTTCTACCTGCCATTTATTAAGAATGGAACAGCTTTGTAAAAATAAAAGTCCAAATATTATAAAAATGTAGATAATTCTGAGCCAAAAACTTCTAACATATTTGCCAAGTTCTGAATCAGTATCCTGGAACTGATAAATACTTTGCAATAGATAATTCTGAGCCAACAACTTCTAACAGATTTGCCAAACTCCGAATCAATATCTTGGAACTGATGCATACTTTGCAGCAGATGTCGTCAACATTTCGTGGGGGTTTGATGTTACCTGGAGGCACTGCTCTGTCTGAAGCTCTTTTACTCAAGTTAGGCTTTAATCTGAGCTTTGTTTTAACACAATCTGATTTAGCTAGAAGTACAACAGATGAGCTGATTTGTGTCATTAAACAAGTTAATATAACAGTCACAAGCTATAACTGTCACCTTTTTGTTGAAACTCAAACTCCTAAACAAAACTATGAACGCTCGTATTGACCACAGGCTGCTGAAAATGTATTGTTTAAACCCATTCTGTATTTTCTGTCATGAGTTTCAGGCTTTTTCAGATACACACTGAACACCCCAGTATGATGTCACTGCAAAGTATCAATACCCGAGACTATACTCTTCTTTATTGAATCCAATCTAGAATCGGTCTGGTCTCGGTCCAGTATCGGTGCATCCCTTGTTTGTGATTCAGTTCACAGTTCAAATCCAGCTCTCCTCTGGTGTTTACTCCAATACATATCCAAACACTTTAAAATAACTACACTTTACTTAAACTAGTAAAGCATAAAGACATGTTTTTCAATGCAATAAACACCAAAAATGCTTTAATATTAGTCTATTTTTTAGCTTGAAAGTTACACAGTGAGACTTTAAATAGTAGTTAGCATTAGTTCATGGTTTATTGATTCTGAAAGTGTAGTCATTATAAAGTGGTCCCAGTATTTTACTGTGCACCATCTGAGTCTGAATCACTATAATCTGCAACAAGAGATGTATTTCCCCCCAAACTACATGTTTTCTCTACAATATTTAAGTGTCCATTTTGTTTTTCCTCCTCTTTTTCCTCTCTTCCTCCCGTTCCCGGATCACAGTCTGCAGCTTCCCTCGTTACCGTCGCCGTGGTCATGTGTACAGGTTCGTTCGCGTTTCCATTTGTGGTCGCCGCGGTTTGTTTCCGTATGAGAGCTCCGTCTGTGGTTTTGTGTTCAGGTCTTTTTGAGGTTGCCGTGCTTACGTTGGTGGTCGCCACGGTCGTGTTTGTTGTAGTTGCGGTTCTTTTTCGAATGAGCGCCCCGTGAGATGGTCCCATTGCTTTGGCGACCGCTGCCTCTTTGCCCTGCTGGCCCAGCTTCTGCAGCAGACTGTGGGCAGCGCCCCCTAGAGCCGAAGACGAGGAACTGAACCACGAGCGGCTGGAGATCTCTTGACGTTTGCTCTGCTGTTTGTCGTCAAATGCTGAAAACAAATAAAGACATACATATTAAAATGGACTTGGAAGATGTGGGTATTTACATTTTATGGTAGAAACAAAAAGTATTGCTGAAAAGTTGAGAGCTGGCTTTTAGATTAGACAACTACTGTTTCCAATGCAACTACTGCCTCCAAAGCCAAGATGACTTCTACAACTACAACACAAATCCTGATATTTAAAGCTACATCACATATTAAACCCATGATGATATGATGCCCTCACAGTCTGGGGTAGCGTAGGTGAGCAGAGCGGCAAGTCTCTTGTCCTCTTCTCTCTCGGGGAGCAGAGGGATGGACAGGTTGGTTCTGGCTCTCACTGCGTTGTCCTTTTCTTCCTGTTCAGCCAAAACCTTCTTCTCAGTCTGAAACAAAACACATAAACAAAAGCTGCAAATGTAACTATAGTTCTATGAATCCTGAATGACCACCAGAGGGCAGTGCTCAAAGCACTGAAGGACACTAATAAATACCAAAAAAATCACTCCCGGGACTTTCAAATAACTGTGGGTCATCAGAGTCTCTGTTCCTGCTAGTGGCAAGACTTTTATGGAGTCTGAATCTTTTGGATCGGTTCAGAACCACTTAAAAGACTGGCTCTTTTAATATGTGTTTCTATAACAGAGGCCAATGTTAGAACTCATTTTATCTACAGTCTAATCACAGAGAGAAATAACCAAGGCTAAGATCTGTTTAAAGAAGCTGAAACAGAGTGGGAGTGTGTTTACTGTTTGAAATTATGAATACGCTTATTAAAATGTTACACTATAATTCTAATAATTTTAAAATAAACTAGAAAAGCACTCAGAGAGCGCAGACCTCCGCCAAGGACTACCCCCATTTTTTATATAAATTGCGATAAAATCAGTCTTATGGATCAGATCTGGATAAGCCTTTGGAATATGAAAGAGGATCCCATTGTCCATCCCTGAGTCAAATTTCATGGGGTTTGGTCAATAATTAACCGAGATATTGAGAAACAACATTTTTGGCCCCATTTACCACAGTGTTAACTAAAATTTCAAAGTGATCCAGAATCCAGGATTTCTTTCGGATCACCCCCAAAATGAAATCAGTTCTTCCTTTTCACATTTCCAACAAATCCTGAAAATTTAATCAAAATCGGTAAATAACTTTTTGAGTTATGTTGCTAAAAGACAAACAAACAAACAGACAAACGCCGGCAAAAACATAACCTCCTTGGCGGAGGTAACTATTATTATGAAGCAAAATACATGTCTCTGTGCACAAAACACTCACTTATGTTGCCTGCTCTGATTAAAGCTGAACCAACGAGAATCAGCACAGAGTCAAAGAGCCGCCTCATTCACAAACGTTACATCACTAGTTCTTGCAGATTCTGCTCAAGAATTCTGAGTGACAAAGATCTCCTGGCGGTCAAAGGGGATGCAACAGTGTGACGTACCCTGAACTTTTTGCGGAGTGAGCTGTTGAGCTGAAAGTCGTCTTTCCACCCGGCCTGCAGGTCCTGAATCTCAGATAGAGACGGGAGCGCCCTCTTCAGTTTCTCTTTGTCTTTACCACCGTGGTCCAGTTTAAACATGGCGTCTGTCTCCAACTTCTCCTTCTCCGAGTGCTCTGAGAAAACGACATCTCCAGGTGAATCCTCTGCTCCATTTGACCCTCTCCTCTGCTCCATCTGACCCTCTCCTCTGCTCCATCTGACCCTCTCCTCTGCTCCATCTGACCCTCTCCTCTGCTCCATCTGACCCTCTCCTCTCCTCTGCTCCATCTGACCCTCTCCTCTGCTCCATCTGACCCTCTCCTCTGCTCCATCTGACCCTCTCCTCTGCTCCATCTGACCCTCTCCTCTGCTCCATCTGACCTCTCCTCTCCTCTGCTCCCTCTGACCCTCTCCTCTGCTCCATCTGACCTTCTCCTCTGCTCCATCTGACCCTCTCCTCTCCTCTGCTCCATTTGACCTTCTCCTCTGCGCCATCTGACCCTCTCCTCTGCTCCATCTCACCCTCTCCTCTGCTCCATCTCACTCTCTCCTCTGCTCCATCTGACCCTCTCCTCTCCTCTGCTCCATCTGACCCTCTCCTCTCCTCTGCTCCATCTGACTCTCTCTTCTGCTCCACCTGACCCTCTCCTCTGGTCCTCTGACCCTTCCTCTTCATCCTTTAACCGTTTCCTCTGCTCCATCTGACCCTCCCCACAGGTCTAAACAGAAAATAAACCTGGTCTAAATCAAGCATAACAGAGACTAAACCCGGTCTAAACCCGGTCTAAAGTAGTACCAGTGGTGAGGATCTGCTCATTTTCCTCCATGTCCCATCTCTCCTCTTTCCTTTGGGCCCCGCTCACGATCACATAGTCACAGTTCTGAGGGTCTGTTTGCATCTCGATGTAGTTCACACACAGGTGGCACTTCATCCTGAACCTGGACATAGACAAACGCATTCAAAAATGTCAGAAAAATCAAATAACCCACATTAGTTTTATAGTATCCCACGTATTGTATTGTCTATAGGCTGTGTTGACGTTCTATAAGTTCTAGATCTCTGATGTTGGTAGATTTTGTTCTGAAATTATTCAAATAATTTTAGTGAAAGTGAATGTAGTTTAAAAACACAGTGGAATACTTCCTGTATTACCACAGGACATTATAAGGTGGAGTGTTTTCAGATTGAGAGAACTGTAAAGAGCCCCAATAGCTGCAGGATTAGTGTGTTAAATGTATGTGAATGAAACAAAGCACAACTCCAGGTGGATTTGTGATGAGGAAACATATACATACATTATAAATAAATCAGAAAATTGCATAATAAGAGACCTTTACCATGCTAAAATAACCTATACGAATACAAAAACAACAATATGATCACTGTAATCAGACTGAGTCATCAGGTTGGGTAGATCAGTGCTCAAATATGTTACCTGTAGATTGGAGTGCTGTAGTAGTTCCCCACTTTCTTCTTCTCGGCATTGTACCGAACCCCTGAGGGAAACAAATACAGATTAGAGAAACTAAATAAAAATACCATGTATAAATTACAAACTTACTTCTACGGGGTACTATAGGCTAACACATAACATATTTAGATCACCATTACTTTATTGTTTTGAAAATGCTATATTCACTGAAAACTGAGTATTAACATGTTTTGTTTTCGAGTTTTCACTCCCCCTTCAGAGCACTATCACAAACACAATAAGCGTGCATCCTGCCGGTGAAACTACTGCACATCGCATCAGGTTTGCCCAGTTGCTGTGTACAGTTTTATATCATGCTTTTGTATATTTATGGAGAATTGTCATGTGTAAGCATGGACGACATAGTATTATGGGTGGGGCCTCGGAGAGAATCGTTCTTCTAACTGCAAGGGCTCGAATAGGTCCTGGGAGAGATGCATGTATGGATGAAAATATGGATGAAATACGGTGGAGCGGGGGAGGGAGGTGGGTGCGAAGCGCTTTCAGCTACGTCAAACGCGTCATAGGTGTAGCTGCTGCATCATCGTTGTAGCAGCTTTAGTTCGTTTTCACGTGGGAGGGTGGCAGAAATACACTGCAATTTGTTTAAAAAAAAACACAGAATCAATTGGCTACATATACAAGGCCCACATATCTCTCTTAGAAGGTAGAAAGCTCTGGAAAGTTGATTTTGCATGAGATGGGCCCTTTAAAAATACATAATACCCCATTTTTAACTGGTTTTCTAGCTTTAGGTTATAGGAACACTATATAATGTTTTCTGGTTGGACAATCTGCCACTTGCTTTGCCTGGAATGTTGCAAAAAACAACCATAAACTCATCCATCTGGCATTCAAATATGACAAGTCTAATGCCATACTGCGGAACATTCCAGCCAAAACAGTTCAAACCGTGAAGATGAGCGGGTGATGGATGCCCCACCAGAAAATGACTGCACCTTTAAACCTCAAAAGCAGTAATTCCATAATTCCATAATGTGGAGGTCTGACTCACCCATCCCGATGTGATTCTTGCAGCCGTCACACCAGATGTTGTAGGGCATCTCAAACCTGACAGGGATAAAACACTGTTAGGTTTCACCATAACAGGAACAAGCCCGTCATGAGAGCACTTTTTCACCATATCATCACAGAAAATAAATAAACTTTGTAAATAATAAACATAAGTAAATAAGTGTTTAGTTGCTAACTGATGTCATGTCAAGATATGTACAACTGACCTTCTAGATTCAGATACTATAGCTTTAAGAATTTGCCGATATCAGCCAGTGCCAGATACTTATACCTGCATTTAATTAATTTCAACAAAAACAAAATCATACAAAAAAGTTCCAAATGTGTTATGGAGCTTTTATTTATCTCTCATGAAACTACAGAACAACTTTGTATAAATAAATGTTCAAATATTATGAGACTTTCTGGACCAAATACGACCAGTAAATAGTCTTATTACATCAGTTCAGATGTCCAACCAAGATATCAGCTGAATCAAAATGAGGAAGCCGATTTCTATTTCAACAAATTTTTCAGTATCAACGCCAATATCTGATAACAGTATTGGAATGGTGCATCCCCCAGTAATATAATATTACTAGGGACGTCCGTCTTTCATTATTGTGATGTAGGGTTGTCAAAATTAGATACTAATTGATACTAAAACTAGTACTGATACTAGATATTCTATTCAATACTAAAAAAAGACAGCACAGAAATGAACCTTTCCTGAATAACTTTAAAATGATCTTGAGCTGTATAGTACAAGAGCACACAGACAAGTATACACCTATGGAACACTATGGAGCCCACCTGGACTAATGAGGGATTTACACACATATAAGACCACAGGGTAGTATACAAGAGAGTACGCTGAAAATGTTGAAAATGACATTCTGTCATCTTAATAATATTTTTAATCATCACAGTATCAGTTTTGAGTAGGGATGGAATGAAATATCCTGGCATGAGATCTCGTGAGATTAAATTGCAAGGACACTGTGTGCACATTGGGAAAACAATTTCATGAGATTGTGTCCTCCATCTTTACATTTACCAAACTGTAAAGTTGGTTAAAAAAAAAATTGCAAAATAATATGATCCTTGTTCTTGTGGATCCTATTTTGTGTGTCATTTAATATTGTGAGAATTCTTTCTCAGCCCACCTCCAGTATTGAGTATTGAGTCTATTCCTTAGTATTGAAATTGTGTTTGACATTTTAATATTGTGACAACACATGTAAGGCTAAAGTATATTTTAAATACCTGATGATGAGGATGCCCTGGGACAGCTTCCTGGCTCTTTCTCGAAGAGCGTGGGTTTTGTGGTAGCCATTGAGGGACCCATGCTAAAGAAGAGAAAAAAAAAGGATTGGATTAAATGTGAATTAGGATGAAAGATGAAAAAATATGAGTGAACCAACCTTGGCTGGATCGAAATCTGGAGGGTAGTACTTGTTTGTTCCTTTCCTTTCACCCTGAAAACAGAGACACAATTTAAAGCTGTGTATTGGACAGAACTAAAACTAAATGATACTTTGCAAATGATGTCATCCACATTCCTTGAGGATGTGTGGTGCTAACTGGAGGCATTGGTCTGTCTCATCGGTTACTTAATTTAGACTTTAATCTGATCTTTGCTTTAACAAAATTTGAACTGAAAGAATTGAGTTAGATGAAACTGCAAAAAGTTAGCCGATTTATGCTGTCTCTCTCACATACAATGACACAAGCTCTCACCTTTTTGTTGAAAATCAAACTCCTAAACAGGACCATGAACAATCGTATTGATCACAGGCTCCTGAACATGTGCTGTTTAAATCCATTTTGTATTTTTTCTTCAGTTTTCAGACTATTTTAAAACTTTTTTTGTGTGTTTGCTAATCTGTGAATTGTGTCACCATGGTAACTGCTGAACATTCCCCCCATACCATAGGCATACATGTAGAACACCCCCAGTGTGATGCCACTGCAAAGTATCAGTTAACTTGAGAATAATCTATCTTCTATGGCCACCACGCTTACCATTGTGACACCGGGACGTTCTCAGTCTAGCAGAACTTTTATATCAACTTGAATCTGAAAGTACAAAGGAAAACGGTCTGTTAATAACAACACAAGCAGGACGGTGAACTTGACCCATGTTTCTAAATACACATGTTACATGCGTTAGGATATTTTCAGTATAAAGTGGTGGTATTGTTTTGGCCAAATTAAAATGATAAAAGATACACTGAGGGATTATAATAAACAGATTATGAATATATACATTAGAAATATATAGTAAAGTATTTTCGTTTTAAGGTGTTAAAATCAGATGTTACTAAATGTTTTCCAGGCAGCAGGTCCATCTAGCCTGTGAAGCTAAGGGAAGTTACAGGCCAAAATCATCACTAGAAACGAACCATTTGTCCTGCGATTTCGACTTGCAGAGACAAAAGCAATGTAACAAGGTATGCACGTACATTTCCAGTCATTTAAGCGTAGTAATGTTCATTTAATTGAATTGAATTTAAGAAAAACCTACCTTAGCTCGCGAACAAGCTGAAAATCACCAAAACATCCAAGAGCCACACGTCACATCCGGATTCCTCGTTGCACTACCGGAAGTGGATCGGAAGGAAAAAGTCCAATTAGAAATTAGAAATTGAACCATAAAAAACAAGTTCAGCTTACAATTAAAATTGGTTTTATGCTTTAAAAAATAAACACGCAATTTTTATTTTATTTTTATGAGTCAAACATTTGTATTTTCGTAACTTGCATCCCATTACGACTGATTATGCCATGTTTGTGGCTTTATATATGTGTTATTAAATTATTTGCTAAATTGATATAATTAGATATTGAATCACAATTAAATAACGATTTTACCTTAAAGTAAATACATACATTATTTTGTTGGATACCACCGGAAGTGACGTCTAAATTGCAGGAAGTACAGCTATCATGAAAGCTGGAGTTTCAACGTGGTGTTTTGTACTTGGCACAAATATCAGTGGATTTTGACGAATTTTGGTGCGAAAATGGAGGCGAAGACGGAGAAACATAAGCGGTTCATCTGTTCTTTTCAAGGTTGTGTCGCTGCGTACAACAAGCAGTGGAAATTAGATGCACATTTATGTAAACACACGGGGGTGAAGCCGCACACGTGTGATCAGCAGGACTGCGGTAAGAACACACGACACGACACGACACGATACAACACGACACAATACGACACAACACAGCTCATCGTAGATACAGGAGGACATGTTGACTTTGGTGGGCACTGTTGGGCAAGTGACTTTAAAACTGTAATGTGTTATTTATGACTTGTTACTGTCATTTTAAAGTAATTCCTTGCATTAGAATATTACTGCGTTTAAAATGTAAGGCATGACATTAATATTGCAGCACTTTTAAGTTACTCTCACCAAAATAACTGTGAAGATGATGAACTTTTGTGCTGTATATGGACTGAACCAAAACTGAACCAGGACTAAAACAGGCGTAAACTAGGACTAAACCAGGTTTAAACCAGGTCTAAACCAGGACTAAACCAGAGCTGAACCAGGACTGAACCAGGTCTAAACGAGAACTGAACCAGATCTAAACCAGGTCTAAACCTGGTCTAAACCAGAGCTGAACCGGGATTGAACCAGGACTAAACTAGGTCTAAACCAGGACTAAACTGGGCTAAACCAGAGCTGAACCACGTCTAAACTAGGTCTAAACCAGGACTGAACCGAGGACTAAACCAGGACTAAACCAGGACTAAACCAGGACTAAACCAGGACTAAACCAGGACTAAGCTAGGTCTGAACCAGGTCTGAACCAGGTCTGAACCAGGTCTGAACCAGGTCTAAACCAGGTCTAAACCAAGACTAATCCAAGACTAATCCAAGACTAAACCAGGACTAATCTTGGACTAGAACTTGGAATGAGATCGAACTTGAGCCCATGGAACAGGGGTGTCTGCAAAGCGCGATCACTTCAGCTGTGTGGAGTTCTGCGCTGGTCCTTTCGCCCGTGATTACGTTATGAACGCGTTACTCCCAACACTGGTGGTGGGACATGGAGGGACTCCAGAAATGTAGGTGCACTGTGTAATTTGTCTAGTGTAACCTGTTAGATCTAAGTTACCATGTAGACCCTCCACCAGAACATTACGCAGTGCAACTGGAGCTCAGATATTATAACTTGATAAACACTTGGGGTGACCAAATGTCCCTATTCACCCGGGGCAGTTCCAGTTTTGAGCCCTGTGGCCTTTGTTCCAACAGATTTATACAAAACCAGTGATTTGTCCCTGATTTATACAAGCAATGTCCCAGGTGTTTCTATTTTTGACCAATTTCATCTAAACCAGGACTATATGAGGTCTAAACCAGGACTAAAACAGGACTATCACAATTTTTTGACTAATCAGATCCGTGCCAACTGTAATGAAGAGCATAAACTGTCATTTGTTTTGCCAAAGTACAGAAAACCGTGTTTGCGAATGACCATAAAGCAAAAAAGAAATGCAGCGTTAGAAGTTACCCTCAGATTATGACTGACACGAGAATGCACAATGTTGCTCTCATTTCACAGTTTTATCTATACCAACCATCTCAACTCGGGTGTGTCCAGTTTAGAACCTTGAAAATCTGGTTATTCTATTAAAATGCTATTTTTTTTTTTTTTATAATCAGGCGTAATCATTGACTGTGTGAATGCGCAGAAACATTAGAAAAGCACGTTGCATACATAATTCATGTGACATCAATGAAAAAGTGTGATGTTTTCAAAATAATTGGAGCAACCTAAATGGGCTTGAACATATAGTCCAGTGAAGCCAAGAGATGTTACACAGTACAGTCTTAAATGGATAATCCTTTTATTACAGGTGGTTTTATAGATCACCTTGGTTGGTCAGTATTTGCAACATATCGGTTATCGCCCTTAAATCTCTTGTTTAGGCCAATATTTTGGGCCAGCCAGATGGTTAAAGAATATGCATAAAGCTTTATTTCAAACTAGTGCAAAGAGGACACTGCACAAATGTGACTAAGCGGCTCTGTTATTCAGGTTTGTAGGAGTGTTTTTAGACATTTCAACTAGAACAAAGACAAAATATCCACGATAAATACTGAGCCCCCAGAATTGTTCCATCTTTCATATATTGAATGATAAGATGATATTCTAATTATCGTGACAGGCCCAGTTGTTGTTGTTGTTGTTGTTGTTGTAACCTGAGCCCTCTTTCATCATCGTCTTCTAAGTTAGTCCCAGGATTTCTGCAGCTCCTCTGCGGTCTGTCCATGGTGATTCCACATGGAGACCTGGTGGTGCCTGCTTTGCAGGGCAGGGGAAGAGGTGCTGTGTTGTATGAGCTGTTTGGCTACACTCCAGGACAGGTGACAGTGATGTTAGTGTCAGTCCGACTGAAGTATGAGTTTCAGAGCCGACTGTATCCTGAGCGCAGCTGAGCCACAGTTGTAATACTCTTATGTAATTACCTCTGACTACAAGTAAGGTTAAGGTACACATTACTGTCCCCATAGTGAAATTTATTCTCTGCATTTGACACATCCTTCAATGCCACTGGGTTAAAGTGGTCAATACGAGTGTTCATGTTACAGTAGGTGAGAGTGACTAACTGAAAACTGTTGGCTAATGCCAACAAGCTTGTGACTGTAATTTGATGCCAGAGAAACATTTTTAACTGCACAAATCTCACTTTTTGTTTTCCCGTTCTTTCTAGTCAGACTGTGTAAAAACGAACCTCATCTAAATTAAGTAACAGTAACAGGGCTTGAGATTGGAGTTGGGCGATATGATGAGAATGTCATAAACCGTACTGAAAAAGTGTGACGTGTCACCTTCAACACTGCCTGTAAAAAAAAAAAAAAAAAAAAAAAAAAAAAATCCCCTCTGGAATGTGCAAAGTTTAATATTTAACACTGCAGCCAATCATTAACTCTGTTAAATGTATATTCTCAGCCATATGACAGATATTTAAGCTTTATATTGAATCTTTTCATTTAAATAAACAACTACTCTAGTCCACAAAATCTGAAAACATATAAGCACTGCTGCTGAAAAGTTATGGAGCGCACTTGAACTCATCATTGTGCCAGATGCACAGTTTCTTTTACTTGTGACTGAAAAATGCATGTACGTCTTGTGCATCTGGCACAAAATGAAGCAGGGCTTCAAATATTCTATTTGATGTCTTTACTGAGAAGCCAAACAGCCGCGTTAATATTGATTTGATTCGTCTCCCTGTGCATTTATGATGTTGTTTCCTTAATGCGCATCTGTGTATTGCGTTTCATAATCAAACCTTCATCATTATTTACTGTCACAATTTCACACATTTACTCGTAATTTGGAGTTTCAGATGGTAAAAAAGAACAATAGCAGATGCACAATAGGCAGGAGCAGACAGGTGTGAGTGGAGGGGAGAGAGACACATGGCTTGTTGGTCAATAGATACAATAAATGATGTATTCTGCATTTAAATCAGCTAAATTCACACAGTTCCTTTAATAAATGAGCATTATTTGATCTATTTTACACACTGTGTATGTATGTAAGTGCTATTTAAGGAGAAATCAAAATTTAACTCAGATTTGCCTTAATTAGGCCTCCGTGTGTCTATCGCTGTGTAATTAGGGGACTGTATGACGATATTAAAAAATGGACATGGCTTCACTCCACTTCAGACAGAGCAATGCCTACAGTTGCCATCATACTCCCATGTTGATGTCTTCAGCTGCAAAGTGTCACTTATTATTATTCCTAGACCTTTAACTCCAATTTCTCTCTTGTTTCCGTCTCCAGGTAAGTCCTTCTCCAGCCCGTACCATTTGGCACGTCACCAGTTGATCCACAGTGGAGATAAACCGTTCCCCTGCACCGAGGAGGGCTGCAGCCAAGCGTTCACCACAAACTCCAATCGCCTCCGCCACATCGACCGCTTCCACCGCGACACGCAGGAGCCCAGAATGTACGTGTGCGACTTTGAGGACTGTGGACTTACATTCAAGAAGAACAAACAGCTCAAGTCCCACATGTGTGAACAACATGAGAAACTACCGCCGTATCAGTGTACTTTCCAAGGTAAATCTATCCTCACATTTATTGTCACCATTGGTTGAGTTCATGTAACTTTATGGCACTCTAAACTGCCCACACTTTAAAGGGCTCATATTGCCCTATTTTCTGATCCATGTTATAATGTAATTTCCTCACACACAGACCTGGAGTTGTGTTTTGTTTCATTCACACATGTTTTAACACACAAATCCTCCATATTTAGGCTGAAATGATTTTTGTTTTAAAATGTCTGTACCTTTGTGTGTTAAGAGCTGCTCTAACTATTGCATTTCTCCACTGTAAGATTAATAAAATAGTATCTTGTGTTAAGGTTGTACAATGAGATTCACCTTCCCGAGTAAACTGAAGCGTCATGAGAAGGTGCACAGAGGATACCCATGTGCGGAGGAGGGCTGTGCATTTGTGGGGAAGACGTGGACGGAGTTTACGGCTCACAGGAGGGGGCAGCACCGAACACGTTTCAGCTGTGAGGAGTGTTCTAGAACCTTCAAAGACCAGGCCTGTCTGAAGCAGCACCAGCGCGTTCACAGTGACACGCGCCTGGTGCTCAAATGTCCCCGAGGAGACTGCGAACGGACCTTCACCACTGCTTTTAACCTCCAGAGCCATATATGGTCCTTCCACGAGGAGCTCCGCCCCTTCACCTGTACTCACCCGGGCTGTGGCCGCAGCTTCTCCATGAAGCAGAGTCTGATAGTGAGTTCTTCAGGACTTTTACATGTTTAAGACAGTAGGATGTGCTGATGGAGCAGGACCCACTATTCTCTCTCATTCTTTCCATAAGAAATCTCCAAAAGGGCACAGTTAAAAGCTGCCACTAGAGTACCAGAAAACAAAAGTTAAAAATGCAACTATGGCTCTATGAATCCCAGCGTGCACTGAATGATTCCCTTCACACATGCAGAGGGAATCATTCAGTGCTTTCAGTGACCTCTGAGATTGCAGAATTTCCCTAGCCTGATTCATCAGCCGGTTTCACTTCCTACAAACCGTCTGACCTCGTAGTGTTAGAATTCGTTTGCTTGACAGTAGTACTTTCTTTCATTTAACCAATCTTTGCTATTTGGTCGTGACGTATGTAATGCGCCGCTAACTGGTATATTAAGCTTTTCCCAAATCCTGTAGAAAGAAGGGCAATAACGTCTTTCCCCTTGATGAAATTCACCAAACATTCTCTTTATTCTGGCTTTAAATCCTCGATCTCGAGAATCATTGCCAACACAGAATATTGACTGGTGCTCGAACTCACACCTCTGGGGTTTTTGTAAACTCTCTAGTGTATTTTGATTTCTGACCTAGTCGCTGGAGAGAAATGAAATTGAGCGGAGGCACTAGGTTGCGCCAGCCTGGCTAGTGTTTCCCCACACAAATTAACTTTTTTTTTTCTATGAAATTGCATGATGAACATTGAAGTTTCTAGCTGAATATTAAGGCAGAAATTAGAATAAAGAAAAAAAAAATACAGTTTAGGTACCACTATCAAAATCCAGGTAAAAGTACTGATACCCCAAAGCCTTATGAGCCATGCCCATAGTAACAGAGTACACAGCAACATTTGATCATGTTTTCTTTAATACAAAATAAGTACATGTGTCATTTTACAATAACCATGCACAAACACACAAACACAATGCTCTTCATAAGTCATGGTTTGAATTCATTCATAAGATATTATTTATTCATCATATTTCTCTTTGTTTGTAGCGTCACGGAGTCATGCACGACCCTGAGAGGAAAAAGATCCGCAAAACACCTCCAAACAAGCGTTCTCTGGCCTCCAGACTGAGTGGGTTCAAGGACCCAAAGATCTCCAGGAAAACCACTCTAAACCCTGTCCAGAATGGGCCTTCTACTCGTTCTGGTTTAGATTCTGGTCCCAGCCTTGTTCCAAATCCTGATCTGAATCCCAATCCAAATCCAGTGCAGAATCCTCATTCAGTGCAGACTTCGGTTGAGACCCCGGTTCTTTCTCAAAACAAGGAGATTATTTTATTCTCAAATAATGCACTAAAGCCCTCAGTCCAGTCTCCTCCGGCCCAGGATCCTAGCCCTGGTCTGGTCCAGGACTCAGTGGAGTTGGTCTCTCTCCTGCAGGACACCTCTTTACTGTGTGAGACTCATGTTGCTAAGAGCCTCAGCGCCTCTGTTACTGTCTGAACTCAAAACAGGACTTATATTTTAACATCTCCAAGAATAATGGATAATTTTATACTTGAAAACACACTCATGTTTCTGTAATTGAATTATTATTATGGATTTTCGCATTTGTGAATTCACAAACTCTCAAGAGTTCATCTATTTTTGTGAAAAAGTATAAATATTTAAATGTGCAACAGTGAAAACATTTAAAACTGTGAAGGCAGTAAAATGTTGTTTAAAATGATGTGTATGTTTTTAATCTGCTTAGATGGACAGAAATTTGGCATCAACAATGTTGCATAATAATAACAATAATAATTCAATTTAGAAGCGTTGTACAGGTGTATAGCGTGTGGTACATGCTCTCAAGATTGTGTCCGTGGAGCAGGACAGGGACAACAGTGTGTCCTCAAAGGTGCTCTCCTGTCCTGTGATGGTGCTGTGCAGAGGGTGCAGGGGCTTATCCAGGATGGACAGGAGCTTGTTTAGAGTCCTCTTCTCATCTGCAGATGAGAGTGAGTCAAGATCTGCTCCCACTGAAGATCCTGCACCACCATCTTATCCAGGCACACACTGTCCTTGTTCTTGAGGCTCCGTCCCCAACACACCACACAGCTGAAGAGATACTGGAGATAACTGTCTGGTAGAACATCAGCAGGAGCACACCACAACATCTGGGAGGGCATCTGACACACCACAACATCTTCAGGTTAACTAGAGACATTTGACCTGCCCACATCTTAGTCTAACACTACAGAGACACAGGTTGATGGGAGGGCATCTGACACACAGGGATACAGGAGGACGGGAGCTCACCTCACTACTACTACTACTACTACTACTACTACTACTACTACTACTACTACTACTACTACTACTACTACTACTACTACTACTACTGCTGCTGCTACAACTACCACCACTTGTACCACTACTACACTACTGATACTTCACGTTTTCCAAGGCTTCTTCCAAGTTCAGATCTGATTTCTAAGATCATATTTTTGTATGAAAGATCAATGTGCATTATTATTGACTTATGGTTCATTACAAAGAAAACTGTCAGAATTAGGTTAATGTAAAGACTGCAAGTATTTAAGCAAGTAACCTCAGCAAACTACAAAGTATAATGGCTCAAAAGTGCTAAGTCTCTGGTTTAGACGTCTTCAAACATGTTCTGAACTGTCCCTGTGTGTGTTCCTTCAGATATGAATTACTCTGTGTCTTTCGTGTTTTTTCAGTCATTCATAGAGTTATATAGGCCCCTTTTCCTCCTGAAATTATGATCAGAGGTGAGTAGAGTAGCCAAAAATTTTTCTCAAGTTATAGTAATGTTCCTTGAGAATAATAATATTCAAATACAAAGTAGTGGTCCAGTTTTGAAATTAATGTAATTTGAAGTACAAAACCTAAAATAATGCTCAAAATCAAAATATTTTTAAAGGATAAATATTAAATCAGATCTGAAGGAGCAGCAAGAAACACAAATGTTCAAATCATTTCATATTGTCACATAAAGCTTTTGTCACGACACGACGGTGGTGGGGCTGATAACGGAGGGGAATGAAGCGCCCTACAGAGATGAGGCCCTCAAAATCAGCAAGCGGTGTGCAACTAACAACTTGGCACTGAACATCACCAAGACTAAGGAACTCATCCTGGACTTTCAGCAGAACAGAGCCACCCCCTGACCTGTTGTCTTCTGGCAGGTGCTTCAGGTCAATTTCAGCCAGAACAAATAAACTCAGGGACAGCTTCTTCCCCAAACTGTCACCATCATGAATCATCATTACACTGAGAACTGTTCATTAGTTTTATTTATTTTGTTGAATTCTTGCACTTTGATGGAGCAGCTTTGAATTTCATTATTCTGTATCATCACAATAAAGGCTTTCTGTTCTGTTCTGTTCTGTTCTACTTACACTCACTCACGGTGGGAAGAGGAACTACAACTTTTACTCAGGTAAGGGCAGAGGTGGCGCTACCATTACGCAACAGCAGTGTTGGGGAGTAACAGATTACATGTACTGGCGTTACGTAATTGAGTACAAATTATGAGTAACTGTATTCAGTTACAGTTACTGTTTCAATGAGCGGTAATTGGATTACAGTTACTTTGTTGAAATAAATGGTTTACGTGGCGGTATTTTAATGTTTTCACATTTTGGGCTAAATCAGGACTAAACATGACACTAACAGTAGGGTGGACACAGTTAAAAACAGCAGTGATCTCATATAGAAATCATTTGTCTATCAATAATATTTTTAATCTGTTTAAGGAAAGACTGGACTTTTTATTGTCTTTTAGTAGAGAAAACTTCTTATGTTCAGATCCTCGTCTTTGCTTCTCTACAGTAAAACAAAAGTCTGTTCATGGAGACTTGGGCTCAACAGACAATTTGAAGAGAAGAAAGAAGAATTTTCAGGATGTGGTTGCTACATTCATGTGGTTTTAAAAAGCATGACAATATCAAGTAATCCAAAGTATTCAGATTACATTACTCACTTTAAGTAATTTAATAGATTACGTTACAAACTACATTTTGGGATCTGTAATCTGTAGGGGAATACATTTTAAAAGGAACCTTCCCAACACTGCGAAACAGTACACAGCTGTCTAGGGCCCCGAACCTGTAAGGGCCCCCAATCAATTGCCCTCAGTGTCACTAATGGGCAGAGGCCTAAGAGCAATTTGATTTTCTCTCAAGAATAGTTTACTTTTAAACAAACAAACAAAAAAAAAGCATCTGATCGTCAAATCTCTTAACATTATTTTCACGTTAGAACTCGTGGACTAGTCAGCTTGACCCTGATTTGAACAGAATCATAGGAGAATCATAATCATATGTAATGGATGTAAACAAAAATGTAATTGTGCTGGCAAAAAAATAAAACAACGTTCAGCTTTGGTTATCTAGTAGGTGACCTAATTAATAAGACAAGTTTCCAGTCCACCATAATTCCAAAAAAAAGAAAGTGCTCCATTCCATTCACATACAGTGCGGTCTCTCTTCATCATGAGGAGCTGCAGTGAAAGTGGAGCAGTTCTCAGCTGATTCTCCTGAAGCTCTGGTTTGGATCCTGGACTGGTTCAGAGGAGGACTCACGAGACCTGGATTTAGGTCGAAGTGTAATTTGGGCCTTGATCATGACGGTGCAATTTGCAACAAGGTCTAGAACATGAGTGGACACAAACTGCACTCTCCACAACACTCTTGTCTGACCTGACAAAAGAAAACTAAAATGTCACACATACATGGCTTTTGTATGAATATTAAACTCTAATAAAAAAGTAATATTAACTTTACTAAGACAAGAATTAATTTTCAAAATCAATTACGTGCTATGTCGTTTTTTGTGCAAATATATAATAAAAGTGCTACATGTAATTTAAAGTGTCTTAAAGGTGCATTGTGTAACTTTTCTGGTGGAGGGTCCATTAAATGCTTTTCTCCGTGGAGATGTTATTGCTTTGTCTGGAATGTTTCACAGTAAGACATTAAACCTTTCTATCGTCATGGAGACCAAACCAGACCAAATTACAGGTCAGATCTGTGGAGAGGTGACCCCACTCACAGTCAGAATTAGGTATCATTAAGAAGTTGCCGATACGATACATACCTCGATGCACAGGCCACGATACGATACATATCTAGATACAGTGCACTTTCGATTCGACATGATATATTTCAAATCGATTCAATACGGTTCAATAAAAAAATAAAGGCTAAATCGTGGCTGTGACACTAAAAGTCTTTGTTAAACCACTTCTTGTGCAAAGTTCATATGAAACACAAATATTTTAATCATCAGAACAGTAAAAATATCAAATGTGTTGCATAAATGAGTTTCCTTTCACTCCACAAGCCACAAAACTGTAGCTCTGTAACAAAATAATTTAGTAAAACACACGTAAAAATACTCTTGGTGATATATCGATACAGCAGCCCACGATATCGATACTGTATCATCACATTAAACGATACGATATATCGATATTCCGATATTTTTGCACACTCCTAGTCAGAATGTTTGTTTTTCTAGGTATTTTTGAGCTATAGAACCAATCCTTTGACTTTACATGTGAATAAATGTAAGGTAGAAGTGTCACTCTGTGGAACATTCCAGGCAGAGCAATGACATCATCATAGAAACAAGTAAAGAGTAAAGGTGCTGAATAGGTTTATTTTACAGTGACATGCATCATTAGCGCATCATTTCAGGCAGAGGAGATGCTCTGTTTCATGGATGTGGTCTGCTGACTCTGAGATGAAGACTGTTCCAAACACTCACAAGTTAGGCTAAATATAGACAGTGTTGGGAAGGTGACTTTTAAAATGTATTCCCCTACAGATTACAGATTACATATCCCAAAATGTAGTTTGTAACGTAATCCATTAAATTACTTAAAGTGAGTAACGTAATCTGAATACTTTGGATTACTTGATATTGTCATGCTTTTTAAAACTACATGAATGTAGCAACCACATCCTGAAAATCTTTGTTTGTTCTCTTCAAATTGGCCTTGGTTTAGACCTGGTTTAGACCTGGTTTAGACCTGGTTTAGACTTGGTTTAGACCTGGTTTAGTCCTGGTTTAGTCCTGGTTTAGACCTGGTTTAGACTTAGTTTAGACCTGGTTTAGACCTGGTTTAGACTTAGTTTAGACCTGGTTTAGTCCTGGTTTAGACCTGGTTTAGACCTAGTTTAGACTTGGTTTAGATCTGTTTTAGTCCTGGTTTAGACCTGGTTTAGACTTGGTTTAGACCTGATTTAGTCCTGTTTTAGCCCAAAATGTGAAAACAGGAAAATACCACTGTGTAATCCATTTATTTCAACAAAGTAACTGTAATCCAATTACCACTCATTGAAACAGTAACTGTAACTGAATACATTTACTCATAATTTGTACTCTGATTACGTAACTCCAGTACATGTAATCTGTTACTCCCAACACTGAATATAGACTAGATATTTGCTGTTCAAAGCCTGATCCCGTCAGATCTCTGAAGCTCAGCAGTTATTGCTTGAATGGAAGACCAGTGGGAAAATCAGGTGCCACAGGGGGCGTCAGTCACAAAAACTGTTGTTGTGTCCTAAAGCAAGACACTTCACCCACATTGCCTAGTATGAAAGTGATGTGTACTTGAGTGATGGTGGTGGTGCAGATTGGCAGCCTTGTTGAGTGAATGAATAATGAACTGTAAAGTGCGTTGGGTATCTTAAAAGGCACTATATAAATGCAATGATTATTTAATTCATTAATTTATTTATTCATATCCCCTCCCATGATGCATTTCAAATAGTTAATTTGGATCCAAGTTTATGCCTTCACCAGAGGGACTGCACCAGAGTTACCATTAGGTCCAGAGTCAAGCGACCTGAGACCACTTCTTTTATGAGGTACTTGGTTTAGTGTGGATCTGAGTGTGACTGAAGCTTTCACACCAACAAAAACCAACCAAACTGTGAGCTTCTGGTTCGAATGGAACGTTTGGACCAACTGCCAGTGTGAAAGCACCCTTTAGAGTTAGACTTAGAGTTGACTTAGAGTTAGACTTAGAGTTGACTTAGAGTTAGACTTAGAGTTGACTTAAAGTTAGACTTAGAGTTGACTTAGAGTTAGACTTAGAGTTGACTTAGAGTTAGACTTAGAGTTGACTTAAAGTTAGACTTAGAGTTGACTTAGAGTTGACTTAGAGTTAGACTTAGAGTTGACTTAGAGTTAGACTTAGAGTTGACTTAGAGTTAGACTTAGAGTTGACTTAGAGTTAGACTTAGAGTTAGACTTAGAGTTGACTTAAAGTTAGACTTAGAGTTGACTTAAGTTAGACTTAGAGTTGACTTAGAGTTGACTTAGAGTTAGACTTAAGTTAGACTTAGAGTTGACTTAGAGTTAGACTTAGAGTTGACTTAGAGAGTTAGACTTAGAGACTTAGAGTTGACTTAGAGTTAGACTTAGAGACTTAGAGTTAGACTTAGAGACTTAGTTAGACTTAGAGTTGACTTAGTTGACTTAGAGTTGACTTAGAGTTAAAGTTAACTTAGAGTTGACTTAAAGTTAGACTTAGAGTTGAGTTGACTTAGAGTTAGACTTAGAGTTGACTTAGAGTTGACTTAGAGTTGACTTAAAGTTAGACTTAGAGTTGACTTAAAGTTAGACTTAGAGTTGATTTAGAGTTGACTTAGAGTTGACTTAAAGTTAGACTTAGAGTTGACTTAAAGTTAGACTTAGAGTTGACTTAAAGTTAGACTTAGCGTTGACTTAACTTAAAGACTTAAAGTTAGACTTAGAGTTGACTTAGTTAGACTTAGAGTTGACTTAGAGTTCACTTAGAGTTAGACGTATAGTTGACTTAGAGTTAGACGTAGAGTTGACTTAGAGTTAGACTTACAGTTGACTTAAGAGTTAGACTTAGCTAGACTTAGAGTTAGACTTAGAGTTGACTTAGAGTTGACTTAGAGTTAGACTTAGAGTTAGACTTAGAGTTAGACTTAGAGTTAGACTTAGAGCTGACTTAGAGTTAGACTTAGAGTTAGACTTAGAGCTGACTTAGAGTTAGACTTAGAGTTAGACTTAGAGTTAGACTTAGAGTTGACTTAGTTAGACTTAGAGTTAGACTTAGAGTTGACTTAGACTTAGACTTAGAGTTAGAGTTACACTTAGAGTTGATCCACAAGGGAGGTTATTTGGACAACCACACTAGATACTTTTGGACAGTCAGAAAAAGCAGAGCTCAGGTTTGGTCAGAGACATGCGGGACACTTCCAGACAAAAAACTTTATTGAGTAAAAGCACGGACACAGACATTTCAAAGCAGTTTAAGTTAAAGGCACGTGAGCCCGAGTACAGTTGGACAAACCTTCCTCCAGTATGAATATGAGCCTCATCCCTTTAAACATGTGCTTCTTATGGAGACACTGTTTTCTGTCTTCCATTCCGATCTCTGTGCTTTGGTAGAATAGGCCAGATTTTTCTTATTGCATTAAAGGTGCACTGCTTAACTTGTGTGGTGGAGGGTCCGTCACCTGCTGGACTGCATGGAGATGTGCCTAGAATGTTCCACAGTACGGCCATAAACGTCTGAATCTCCATGGAGACTTGCAAGTCAAATTACTGATTTGATTTGTGGCAAGGTGACCCCACTCACAGCAAGAATGGAATGGATGTTTTAAAAAGATTTTTGAGCTAGATATACCACCTGTAGTTGAATAAACGCAATACTGAGGACAAAAGTTACACAATGCACCTTTAACAAGAGGCTACAGACAATGTTTATTCCATATTTGACTATTAATTTGTGCTTTTACTTTCTGTTTCTTGATTCTTTTACATTTCTTGTGGAGGCACATGGGATGCAAAGCTAAAGCTAAGAACAAAATTGTGCATTTTTTAAACATTCACCATACAGATACCCAGTGTTAGGAGTAACAGATTACATGTACCAGAGTTACATAATCAGAGTACAAATTATGAGTAACTGTATTTTGTTACAGTTACTGTTTCAGTGAGCGGTAATTGGATTACAGTTACTTTGTTGAAGTAAATGGTCTAAACCAGGTCTAAACCAGGACTAAAACCAGGTCTAAAACCAGGTCTAAACCAGGACTAAAACCAGGTTTAAACCAGGATTAAACCAGGTCTAAACCAAGTCTAAACCAGGACTAAAACCAGGTTTAAACCAGGTCTAAAACCAGGTCTAAACTAGGTCTAAACCAGGTCTAAACCAGGACTAAACCAGGACTAAAAGCAGGTTTAAACCAGGTCTAAACCAGGACTAAAAGCAGGTTTAAACCAGGTCTAAACCAGGACTAAAACCAGGTTTAAACCAGGTCTAAACCAGGACTAAAACCAGGTTTAAACCAGGATTAAACCAGGTCTAAACCAGGACTAAAACCAGGTTTAAACCAGGTCTAAACCAGGATTAAAACCAGGTTTAAGCCAGGTCTAAACCAAGCCTAAACCAAGTCTAAACCAGGACTAAAACCAGGTTTAAACCATGTCTAAAACCAGGTCTAAACTAGGTCTAAACCAGGTCTAAACCAGGTCTAAATCAGGTCTAAACCAGGTCTAAACCAGGTCTAAACAGATCTAAAACCAGGTCTAAACTAGGTCTAAACCAAGCATAAACCAGGTCTAAAACCAGGTCTAAACTAGGTCTAAACCAGGTCTAAACCAGGACTAAAACCAGCTTTAAACCAGGATTAAACCAGGTCTAAACCAGGTCTAAACCAGGATTAAAACCAGGTTTAAACCAGGTCTAAACCAAGCCTAAACCAAGTCTAAACCAGGACTAAAACCAGGTTTAAACCAGGTCTAAACTAGGTCTAAACCAGGTCTAAACCATGTCTAAATCAGGTCTAAAACCAGGTCTAAACCAGGTCTAAACCAGGTCTAAACAGATCTAAAACCAGGTCTAAACCAGGTCTAAACCCGGTCTAAAACTGGTCCAAACCAGGTCTAAAATCAGGTCTAAACCAGGTCTAAAACCAGATCTAAACTAGGTCTAAACCAGGTCTAAATCAGGTCTAAAACCAGGTCTAAACCAGGTCTAAACAGGTCTAAACCAGGTCTAAAACTGGTCCAAACCAGGTCTAAACCAGGTCTAAAACAGGATTTAACAGGACTAAATCCTGCTGCGTGGACCGTGTCTCTTCCTCTTCTTTCAATAATATTTTTAATTTGGTTCAGTAAAGTCTGGATTTTTAATTTTCTTTTAGCAGATAAAACATCTTATGTTACAATTTCCTCGTCTTTGCTTCTCTACAGCAAATCAAGTAATCCAAAGTACTCAGATTACGTTACTCACTTTAAGTAATTTAATGGATTACATTACAAACTACATTTTGGAGTATGTAATCTGTAATCTGTAGGGGAATATATTTTAAAAGTCACCTTCCCAACACTGCAGATAACAAATATTTGACTGCATATATAAGAAATTGGCACTAGTTTCGTACATTGTTCTGCAAAAGTGAAATCATTATAACCAGTATCAAAGCTTTTCTAGATTTCTAACAGAGGCCTCAGAAATACAAAACGTTTCAATTGCACAGAATCCTTTTTATAAACAAAGAGTATGGCACTGTGTTTTGGCACTTCATACCTCACCAGAAGGTTTAAACTTTGGCGTGCTTCTCATTTCACATTAATTAACTTTTTTTTTCTGCTAAGGGAAGATTATTTTGTCCTTAAAGAGGGGGTGTTACACTTTTATGGGGCATTAACTGCTAACACAGAACATATTACCATCACTATGTTACCTTTTATTGCAACGTGTTTCATTTTCACTCTCTTTGTCCTCCATGCTAAATCACTCCCCCTTCAGAGCGCTTTCACAACACAATCAGGGTGCATCCTGCTAATGGAACTATGGCACATCACATCAGGGGTGTCAAGTTGTCGTGTACACTAACAGTTTTGTGTCATGTTTCTGTATATTTAGTTTTGGTGTGGGAGGGTTTGAACAGGGCCTGGGACAGATTGGTAAAACACACAAACATGCATGGATGACATCTAAAAGCTCTTGAAGCATGTTTTTGATGAGGGAACAATGTTATAACTTGGTAGAAAGCTTCAAAAAGTCCACTTTGCATAATACCCCCACTTTAATTTAAAGAACAAGTAACTAAGTAAGTAAGTAAAAAGCTGATTACAGACTTGATTATGAAGGTGTGATAGGAGGTACATTTTACAGTTCATTCACATTTTATGTGAAACTTCAACCTCAACAATTTAGACATTTACAGGCATATTTGAACTGATGGTTTGACATATTATTGTCCCAATACTGTCAGGGGGACAGTGCTATTCACTTTTGACAAGATATGCCGCCTCTTTAAGATACATCACACAAAGTAAACCAGTACAAATACACTTAATACTTGTAATCCCACTGCAGCGGCTCAGTACTCCCACAGTGTGGCGCTGTCCAGACTCTCTGCGCTGGCTTTGAGGGCCCCGGCGTGGTCTCCCTTCAGGTAGTGGCCCCCCACAGCGCGCACCGCCATCTTATGGAGGTCACAGAAGAAGAGGAGGAAGGGCACAGGGGTGGGGCTGGAGCAGAGCACAGAGAGGTCGGGTGCCACGCTCCAGTACAGGCCCTGGGAGTCTGACACAGAACACAAACAACAGGCCATCTTAAACTATATCTGATCACTCTAAAGTAAATACACTTTCATTTTCAATTTCATAAACATCTGTGTCCCCAGATACGAGGTAAAGACAAGTCAAACTCAAATGTAGCTTTTCCTGATGACAAATGTAATAACTTAATTACAAAAACATGGTTGTGGTCATAGCTTCTTGTCAAATCCTGATCTCAGCAGATCTCAGAAGTAAAGGAGTGGGGGGGCCACTCCTGAAGACCTTTTATGACTCTGTGGTGGCATCAGCCATCCTGTACGGTGTGGTCTGCTGGAGCAGCAGCATCACAGAGAGGGAGAGGAAGAAGCTGGACAAGGTCATCAAGAAGTCCAGCTCTGTCCTGGGCTGTCGTCTGGACTCAGTGCAGGAGGTGGGGGACAGGAGGGTCCTGACTAAGATCACCTCTATGCTGGGCCATGAGTCTGACCCCCTGCAGGACGCTCTGTCTGCTCTGGAGAGCAGCTTCAGTGACAGACTGATTCACCCTCGCTGTGTGAAGGAGAGGTTTCGCAGGTCTTTCCTTCCTGCTGCTGTCAGACTTTACAACAAACACTGTTAACACTGAACATGTGCCAGTCAATTATATCCATGTGAAATTATTTTAAGTCTATTTTTAAATTATTTTTAAGCTATTATTTATTATCTGTGTTACCTTTTCCTGCTGTTCTGAAATTGCGCGTTGCAACACTGGAATTTCCCCACTGTGGGACTAATAAAGGCATATCTTATCTTATCTTAAAGCAGGACCAGGCCTGCTTAGTACTTGGATGGGAGACCACTGAGAATACCAGGTGTCACAGTGGGGCGCCAGTGGCAAAAAACTGACGTTGTTTTGGGCCGATGGTGCAGATTGGCAGCCCCACTTCCATCAGTCTGCCTCAGGGCAGGCACACCAGAGTGTGGCATGACTCAATAATGCTCTGTAAAGTGTCTTTGGGTGTCCAAAACGCACTGTATCAGTGGTGTCAAACATAAGGTCCTCAGCTGATTTTCTAAAATATTTTAATTATATTTTCTTTTAAAATATTGGTAATTTTCTGCGGTGCTTAACACAGCAGCATCTCCAGCGTCTCTGTACGTGGCCCCTCCCACCAGAGCAGCACAAATGAAGACTTGTCTCTTTCCAAACGCTCTTAAAGGACGATCGTTTTGACTGTTGACCGTGACACCCTCATCAGAAAAATGTCCAACATGAGAAAAGTGGAGCCGAGTGCAGGATTTTACAACAAAAATTGACTTTTTCCTATTTACATACAAGTTCATGTTAAAACTTTGTGTTGAAATTGCATTTTTCTTAAAGTTTCAAGTTGTTCATAATATTATAATATTTTGTAAAAGAAAGAGTTCATCAATTAAAAAAGATTTCTGTAATAGATTTGTGTTTCTCTGCACAAATATTTGAACTTATTGTTATTTTTGGGGTTTATATGACATGAGTTTTCTGATCCGGACACTTTGGGATCAAAGTAGGTTGGATACGGCCCCCGGACCAAAATGAGTTTGACACCACTGCTCTATATAAAACTGATCCATTATGATTATTATTATTGTACATGATGTCCAAGTTGTTTATGTGATTTGGTTCTCAAGATAATTATCCAGTCTGAAAGCAGAATGAGCCTCACAGCTAGTTCCAGCTCTGAAATCCAGTGTGTTTAAACCTAAAACATCTCGCTCTGATCTGAATGGTCACTACTTAAACCCCAGCTCCTGAATCAGTGCTAGTGCAGCCTCCAGCCTCTGTCCATGTACTGAACATGACAAGGACTTGGATGTGTCTCTGTCTGCAGAGTGTAAGCTACATACTGTAAAGTTACTTCAGGTTCTCTTGAATCTATTTATATTAAGTATTTTGAGCCTCATTTGAACTGCTCCACTCTTCAGTGCACCAGCTGTTGTTTTGGGCACAAACCATATCAGCTCAGAGATGACACATTCAGTAAATAAAGATACATCACACAAGTGAAAATAGTGAAGTTAGTAGAAGTTTGTGTGAGTACCTTTGATAGCGTAGGCTCCGTTGTGGTGCTCGAGCATGAACAGGTCGTAGGAAGCGCGGTTGGAGTCCAGAGTGGGCTGGCCTGGTTTGCGAGCGCCGATGAAACCGTGCTCCCCGCGCAGCACGATGATTGGACGGTTTATCAGCTTCACCAGGAAGTGCTCTGCCTCTCCTGTGCCAGCAGAGGGCAGGTCAGAGCCACACAGAATTACACACATGCTTTATGGACATTAATTAGGGTGACCATATTTTCGTTTGTCAAAACCAGGACACTGTACGGGGGGAGGGAGGTGGGGCCTCGTCATCCACATTGAGCGACTCTCACCTGGCAAAGCTTTTTCATGTTTTTCGTTGTCCTGGTGCTTTGAGGTCCCTGGCACCACCACTGGACACCGAAACATATGTGTGGCTTTGTACACTGTGCACATGGCCTCCAACTTGTCCCGACCCGTGACAGAAAGTGGGGAATTTCTTGTGCTATTTCTTGTGTTAAATGCTCATTTGCGCTTCGGCATGTTGCAGACTGACCGAATGGTTGCGTCTGCTCGCTCCTTCTGATGCACAGAGAGCTACAAGAGCCGCACAATTTAATGGCCCAGTGAAAGGAAATGAAAACATTTGCATCACTTTATAAAAAAAAAAAAAGACAGTCAGGACAGGACGTGAAAAACGGACATGTCTGTGAAAACGGACGTTTGGTCACCCTATATTAATATTTGTGATGCTAACCTGCACTGTCCACCGTCGCTGCGAGCTGTCCGTTCTTCTTAGCGGTCACATATTTGCCGTTAGCCGCACGCACACGAGCGTGACTGTCACTCCACTCAAGCTCGAACAGGCTCTGAGCAGACCTGAGGACGAAGAACATCAGACTGTTGAATGGAAACCACACGCTCTAGTCCCTCATCTGACCACTAGAGGTTCTAATAAATCCTAGTCTCCAGCCAGTGCATCACACTGAAACCTTCTCCACATCAAGCTGTTTAAATAAACTCATCTACGTTCACTGCAGCTGTATCCATACTACCACTGTGTCCTCGAGCAAGACACTACACCCACACTGTCAGTGTATGAATGTGGTGAATGACTGATTGTTGTGGTCAAATAAGCAGTGGATGGAGAACTGTTTAACCCCTCCTCCTCTCCCCATGCTGGGTACTCACTTGTCTAACCCCCTCCCCATGCTGGGTACTCACTTGTCAGCAGCAGTGCTCTGGAGGCCTCCGCTCGGGGTGAGGGTCCAGTACTTGCCCGCGGCGGTCTTAAAGGCACACCGGCGCTCCTCTGGATTCATCTCCAGCTGAAACACTTCCTGGTCCTCCTCCTGGTCCTGATTGGCTGACAGGTCCATGCCTGAGGGTCACATGACCAGCGGTCACGGCAGAAGAGCTTTTCTCATGTGGACGTCGTCATGTCCTTCTCATATGAAACATGAACACAGTGGAGTGAGTGTGAGTGATAGTGATGGTTGGGGAGAGACCGATGGCACAGATTGGCAGCCTTGCTTCCATCAGTCTGCCCCAGGGCAGCTTACCACTTTCAGATATGGAGAGAATGAAGGATGCACCAAATTGTAAAGCAACTGTCTGGAAAAGTGCTGTATAAGACTAATGCATTCTGCTGATTATGACTGTTCTGAATCTGTCATGACACGGCTCACTCTCCTGGGACAAATCTTCATCTCCATCACAGTCCAGTGCTCCTCATCACATCACATCACACCATCACACCATCACACCAGCTCACAGACCAAGTTCAGGCAAAAGGGGAGGAGCTTTCACGTGTCCATTGCCTTAGGAATGCTACATTTAATTTTAATCTTACACTTTTTGCTCTCTCAGACTCTCCTTCCCTCCCTCTCTCCTCTCTCTCCTTTGTTTCTCTCCATTCTTTCTTCCTCCCTCACACTGACTATGAAGTCTAGAGTGATGCACATGGTGTGTGATGCAGACGAGTGTGTGATGAAGACGAGTGTGTGATGAAGACGAGTGTGATGCAGACGAGTGTGTGATGAAGACGAGTGTGTGGTGCAGACGAGTGTGTGGTGCAGATGAGTGTGTGGTGCAGACGAGTGTGTGATGAAGACGAGTGTGATGCAGACGAGTGTGTGATGCAGACGAGTGTGTGATGCAGACGAGTGTGTGATGAAGACGAGTGTGTGATGAAGACGAGTGTGATGCAGACGAGTGTGTGATGCAAACGAGTGTGTGATGAAGACGAGTGTGTGGTGCAGACGAGTGTGTGATGCAGGCAAGTGTGTGTGTGCAGAGTGATGCAGACGGGTGTGAGGCACAACAGCACGTGCAGCACATGTGGATGTGACCTCTGACCTCACACTGACCTTGTCGCGTGGACACATTCTTGCCGTTTCCCGCGGTGAGCACGACCTGCGCGTGACTGCGCTCCAGAGCGAACAGCTCTTCTTTTCCCGTGCGCGTGCCCTTGCCGCTCTTGAGGGTTCCGGAGGGGCCCGTGGGGGTCAGGTACCGGCCCTCTGCGTCACGGAACGCGACGCTCCCGGAGCGGAACTCCAGAGTGAAGCCGGTGCTCTGGTCCGTGTCCGCGGACAGAGAGCCGTCCGCGCGGAGGAAGCGGTGGGAGCACGTCTGTACGTGGTACCGCTGGTCCCGGTACAGCAGCGTGATCAGACTGTCCACGCCCCACGGCACGTCCCGGTCCGCGCACACGTCCCCGCGCGCGCTCAGGTGCACGAAGCGTTTGCGCGCGACACTGTAGAGGTTGACCTGCGGGTGCACGGCCAGGTGCATGCTCCACTTTTCCGCGGGCGACACGCTGGAGGCGAAGCACGTGATGCGGTCCTGGCTGCCGCCCAGGTACCGCCCGTGCCGCTCGGACTGCAGAGACCACCGCCCGTCCTCGTACGCCGTGATGATGAAGCGGCAATCCGGAGCGCGCGCCTCGCTGTCCGCGGTCACGTTACCGTCTTTGTCCGCCGCGAGGTACCGGCCCAGGTGCGACACGAGGAACACCGCGCTGCCGTCCTCGCCGCTCTGCTCCAGAGTCCACGTCTGCTTCTTCCGCAGGCCGCTCGCGGACGCGTTCAGCTTGAATCCAAACGCCTCCGCGGTCAGGTACCGGCCCTCGCTGTTGATGAGCCCCAGAGGAAGCTGCAGAGCCCCGGACGAGCACATGCTTCAGGCTGACTCTCCCCCACACACACACACACACGTCTGGAGGAACAGGACGACAGGGAGCGGCGCGCGTCTGGAAGAGGAGTGGCGCACAAAGTGATGAGGAGGAGAGAGAGGCAGAAGAGGAGGGAGGGAGAGAGAGCGACACAGAAGAGGAGGGAGAGAGAGCGACACAGAAGAGGAGGGAGAGGGTGAGACAGAAGAGGAGGGAGAGGGTGAGACAGAAGAGGAGGGAGAGAGTGACTGATGAGGAGAGAGGGAGGGAGGGAGAGAGAGAGAGAGAGGCAGAAGAGGAGAGAGGGAGAGACAGGGAAAGAGAGGGTGAGACTCAAGAGGAGAGAGGGAGGATAGAGAAGGGGGGAATAGGAGAGAAAATTTGGGAGACAGAAGGAGAGGGGGAGAGAGACACAGAAATGGAGAGAGAAAGTGTGTGTGTTTGAAAGAGAGGGAGGGAGGGAGGGAGGGAGCAAGGGAATGATAGAGAGGGAGGGAGGTGTGTGTCTCGTCCTCTTCCTCTCCAGCCCTCTCCTGCCCTGTTCAAGTTGAAGGTTCTTTCTTCATGCAGCTGTGGACAGTCACAGTCATGATGAAACCAAGAGGATCACTGATCATCTCAACAGCCTTTAAATCTTCCTCCACAGTGATTGATGAAGCGTTGGCTCTTGGTCAGTGGTGTGATCTTGTAGTAAGAGTCTGTCCACGCTGACAGTCTGTGTGTGGAGTTCACGCTGACAGTCTGTGTGTGGAGTTCACGCTGACAGTCTGTGTGTGGAGTTCACGCTGACAGTCTGTGTGTGGAGTTCACGCTGACAGTCTGTGTGTGGAGTTCACGCTGACAGTCTGTGTGTGGAGTTCACACTGACAGTCTGTGTGTGGAGTTCACACTGACAGTCTGTGTGTGGAGTTCACACTGACAGTCTGTGTGTGGAGTTCACACTGACAGTCTGTGTGTGGAGTTCACACTGACAGTCTGTGTGTGGAGTTCACACTGACAGTCTGTGTGTGGAGTTCACACTGACAGTCTGTGTGTGGAGTTCACACTGACAGTCTGTGTGTGGAGTTCACATGTGGATCTCCTCCCGTCTTCTCTCCTGCAGCTCCACTCACTGCTCGTTCAAGAAGATGGATCAAACCTCGGCAAGCATTTTCTTTTAGGACACAGTTACCAGTGTTGGGGAGTAACAAATTACATGTACCAGAGTGAAGTAATCAGAGTACAAATTATGAGTAACTGTATGCAGTTACAGTTACTGTTTCAGTGAGTGGTAATTGGATTACAGTTACTTTGTTGGAATAAATGGATTACATGGTGGGATTTTCCTGTTTTCACATTTTGGGCTAAACCAGGACTAAACCAGGACTAAAACAGGTCTAAACTAGGACTAAACCAGGACTAAAACCAGGTCTAAACCAGGTCTAAAACAGGTCTAAACCAGGACTAAACCAGGACTAAACGAGGTCTAAACCAGGACTAAACCAGGACTAAACCAGGTCTAAACCAGGTCTAAACCAGGACTAAACCAGGTCTAAACCAGGACTAAACCAGGTCTAAACCAGGACTAAACCAGTTCTAAACCAGGACTAAACCAGGTCTAAACCAGGACTAAACCAGGTCTAAACCAGGTCTAAACCAGGACTAAACCAGGTCTAAACCAGGACTAAACCAGTAACTGTATGCAGTTACAGTTACTGTTTCAGTGAGTGGTAATTGGATTACAGTTACTTTGTTGAAATAAATGGATTACATGGTGGGATTTTCCTGTTTTCACATTTTGGACTAAACCAGGACTAAACCAGGACTAAAACAGGTCTAAACTAGGACTAAACCAGGACTAAACTAGAACTAAAACCAGGTCTAAACCAGGACTAAACCAGGTCTAAACCAGGACTAAACCAGGTCTAAACCAGGTCTAAAACAGGTTTAAACCAGGTCTAAACCAGGACTAAACCAGGACTAAAACCAGGTCTAAAACAGGTCTAAACCAGGACTAAACCAGGACTAAAACCAGGTCTAAACCAGGTCTAAAACAGGTCTAAACCAGGACTAAAACCAGGTCTAAACCAGGACTAAACCAGGTCTAAACCAGGTCTAAACCAGGTCTAAACCAGGACTAAACAGTATGACACTTAACAGTAGGTGGACATAATTTAAGGCAGCAGTGATCTGATATTAAAATCATTTCTCTATGAATAATATTTTTAATATGGTTAAGTAAAGACGGGAGTTTTTATTGTCTTTTATCAGACAAAATATCTTATGTTAAAATATCTTTGTCTTTGTTTCTCTACAGTAAACAAAAGTCTGTTCATGGAGACTTGGGCTCAACAGACAATTTGAAGAAAACTAACAGGAATTTTCAGGATGTGGTTGCAACATTCATGTAGTTTTAAAAAGCATGACAATATCAAGTAATCCAAAGTATTCAGATTACATTACTCACTTTAAGTAACTTACTTTACAAACTACATTTTGGGATCTGTAATCTGTAGGGGAATACATTTTAAAAGAAACCTTCCCAACACTGTCAGTTACATATTAGTCTTAATATTTTTCCAGATGCTCAAAGTCGTTTCACAAGTTATCACAGTAGAATCAGCTGTGGTGCAGTACTGTGGGCTTCCACCAGGGGGCACACATGTCCCCCTTCTGACCCTGTGGACATGCAGACGAGACATTAGGTTACACAGTGCTGTTGCTTCAAGTAAAAACACAATAACAAAAAGAAAAGAAACACTTAGTACAGTTTGGTATTGATGAAGAAGAAAAGTTCCATGTTCATATGTGGTTTGTTGTAGTGGTGTATTTATTGGTTGGAAGTTGCATGTTGTAAGCAGCAGATGAGCTTCTGACACACTGGTGTCTGTGGAGTAAGATGACCATGAGCAAAGGTATAACAAGCATTTTATACACCAAGAGGTGGGGAAAGTCTGCAGATGAACATTTCACAGCAATAACAAAGTCCCCTCATAAACCCCCTTTTGGTAAAACAGTGTCATTGTTTCAAAAGATTCACATTTCAAGTAGAGCTGAGATAAGGAAGGACAGCAGCAGCAGGGGGCAACAGGTGAACACCCCAGGGCCTTTGATGGTGTCATGGGTAAAGTCTTTAAGTGCAAAACACATCACATGTATTTGTTAACCAGAATGAAAACTAAAACCAGAGAATTATTACTTTTCTTTTCCACACTTTTTTTTTTTTTTTTTTTTTTTATATTTGGCCCAAGCCAGTAACGAAGTAACTGGCTTGGGCTATTGTTCTTCCTTGGTTTTTTCTTATTATTTTTATTTTATTTATTTATTTTTTTCCTTGCAAATGATCTCAATTTTGAGGGCCTAAACGTCGCTGAAAAGTCCCCAAACCAGGTATCAGATCGACTGGTCCAGTGAAAAATTTCATAAAAATGGGCATCACGACAATGCCTAAAGCACCCCCACTCAACAGCGCCCCCTTGAAAATGCACATTTTAAAATGAATGGGAGGCTGAGACGCATATTTTGGCTTAGGTTCACGAAATTCGGAGCAGTGATAAAACTCAAGGAGACAAACAAAAAAGTCAATCATTGTGCATTGTGCAAAGATTCGAGTCCCTGGGGTTTAGTCCAAATGAGCTCAGATTTGACATGTCACATCTACAGATGTGAACTCACAGAAATGTTCAACTTTTTTTGGGGATACTCCTTACGGTTTGCTCGTAGCACGCACATTATTATTGGCTCATCCCAGTCTCATTCTTAATTTTGCTCCTGTCAGTGGGGTTTCCAAAAGCTATGCAAGTATGTAATAATAATATAATAATAATAATAATAATAATAATAATAATAATAATAATAATAAAATAATAATAATAATAATAATAATAATAATAATAATAATAACTTATTTAACAATATGATGACACAGTATGCACACACCTTTAACGCTGCATAAATGGAAAAGCCTTGATTACAAAACAGTATTAGATCATCAAAAGTGTATGTATGAGAATATGAGTGATTATGTAATTTAAAACTACATGGCAGTAGGAACAATAACAGCAACGTATGAGGTATTTTCTGATGAGTCTGTCTAGAAAAACAAAACAAAACAATGACCTGGATGTTTCTTTTCATCTGCTAATGATACTTAACTGAAACATCTAACCCAATCCCCAATATGTGTTGTAGGTATTGGCAGAAGATGTTTCAGAGATCCACATTCATCCCTTTTTTAAGCCCCTGTACAACATTTACCAAGCTGATTTTAAGGTAAGACTGTAGCTGAACTGTATGGAGTAAGAAAACTTTCAAAAATATTTGTGCGCATAGAATAGCAATCTGTGCGTATTTGGGAAATCCGTGCATATTTGGCTGTAGTTGCGCATAAAATAAATATTTGCAAACTCTCAAATGAGTCCAGTCGTACATAAAATATATTGTGTGTATTTTATCCATCAGAACATGAACTGAAAAGTTACAACGTCAAGAATTACAATTACGAAATGAAAATTTACGATTACACTTTCATCAGTATGAATACGAATTCACAGACGGGACTTTACTGTCAAAAATACATCATCACTTCAGACGTTATTTATCGAGCAGAAGAAACATTGATCGAGATCAAGACTGTGCATGTTTAAGTTTGTAGCAGAGGGTAAAAACGGAGTAATGGCACAAGGAGCTACAACAGCGACCAACAAGAGGGTTAATGAAAATTGATTATAAAAATGTGTTGTCTTGCCACATTGAATTCGGGAACCGAACGCTGCTGTATAATATTGTGTAGAAACACCTCCTCTGAACGGGAAATTGCACCTATATGTTAGATAACATAGTGGAGCCAATTGGCTAACATCAGCCGTAACATTATCCCAGGACTAATTAGCAAATATCAGTGTTCTCTGCATGTTTAGATTAAAACATTCACAGCTACAGCCACAGTGAACAGTCAGTCAGTCTTAACCAGCTGCATTTCTCGCATGAAATGTGACCAAAAGTTCCTTGAGACGCTGAAATGTCCCAGTTTACACCAAACTCTACCAAACTGTCAAATTTTCATTTCGTGATTGTAATTCTTGACGACATAACTTTTCAATTCGTATTCTGATGGATAAAATACACACAATATATTTTATGTACGACTGGACTCATTGGAGAGTTTACAAATATTTATTTTATGCGCAACTACAGACAAATATGCACTGATTTCTATTCTTTGCACACAAATATTTTTGAAAGCTTTCTTACTCCATATGACTGTATTCAAAACATGAAAAACACACTTAGCTGTCACACCAACAGTTTGCAGTGGTCCTTAAGAGCTGCTTATAAATTCCGGGGTAAAACTAGTTTTGCTCAACTATACAGAACAAAATCAGGTACAGCCACTTTAAGTGTGCACTCCCACTTATGTTCATTAAGTCAACTTATCCCACACTTTCCTCTTCTTGCTTACAGCTGTTTTATATTTATTGCTGGTTTCAACTACTGCCTGGTAGATGTAGAACTTTCCACCTTTAGGCACAGTTTGTTGGTGTTGGTTTGAGTGTGAGTGCACCCGTAAAGAAGACAAAGAAAAAAAAACATGTTAGTAACCACTGCTTGTGGGGACTTTCCCTTTATACTCTGTAGATGTGCAAGAGTCAGTTCAGTGGCACCAGAACAGGTGGGAAAAGCCCCTGTGACACTGTGACATTTGATGTGTAGAATACCTAATCTACATATGAGAACAGTTTGTGTAAGGATTGAACTTGTGTATTTTGTAATACTATTTAGAGCTAAGCGCAGCTGAATATTTAAATATTCAGCCAGATCTGTAAGAGTTGTGTGAGTTGTGTGTAGAATTTAACAGCATGGATCAAATTCATGTTTGGTCATTTCAGCATGTAAAGTTTAGAAAGGTAATTTAATGACTGTGGAGAATT